TGGTTTAGGGTGATCGCATAAAGTCACATGGGTACTTGCAGTACCCTCAGTACAGGCGATGTAATGCTCAACATTCTCTGATCACCACCCAATCAGACCAAAACAAAGTCATAAGATAACTACAAGTAAGTTGAAAAACTCTTAACGTGATGCAGGTACAGTCATTGTCATGCAGCCATTTGTCACCAAAGGTATATATTGTCAAATGTGTGGCATACCATCCAGGAATTGGTGATGGTTGAAACTGGAAATAGTCATTTCAGGATCAATTTTCAAAGAGATTAAACAAAAATGATCTGTTTACGAGGGCTCAACAATATAAGAAAACCATGCCATGATATTGGTAAATATATTGGAATAGAAATGAGTTGCAGTTAATCTACATTTTATACGGCTATCAATGCCTCTGCATTACTTTCCAGCAAAATGTTCCTACCTGGAGAAAACGGTTAAGTCTCTATAGACTGTTTTATGTTAAGAAGAACAATGAATATACAGTACACAGTGCTACATCTAGCTTAACCCCTAAACCCGGAACGCCTGCATACCGTTTTTCCATTGCATGAAGAAGAGAAGGAGGGAGGGGGCTGTCGTACCAAATGGAGACTCCAAACAGCACACATGACAACACCTATACATCCTCCAAAATAAACATGTCCAAACTGACATTTCTTTTTTTGTGCCATTTTGATCAGTCTTGAAATCCATGAGCAGAATACTTTATTCTACAGATTTATTGTATTGCCCTGTCCATACATTGAACACTGTGCGAATTTACAATAAATAAAAATGAAAATTCTGGATAAAGCAAGATTTTTCAATTTCTTTTGTTTCACAAACCTAATAGCTACAAACTACTTACAGTTACCGTATCTTTGACTGCAAAAATAGAAAATTTAACTCGTCATCTTTATGAAGAGACCAAGCTTTTGGATGTACTCCAAATAGTTCAAGAACACCAACTGATTTAATTTGGGTATATCTTTTCAGGTATTTTTGGTGATTTTAGGGGTGAAGTTTAAGGTGTTAAATGGAAAACTGAACTGTTTTCACAGTTGTTGAGGAAAAGGCAAAAAGAATTCCTTCCTTGAAATCCTCTACTGCCCAAGAAAGTGTTTTGTAGAACTTAAAATGGTCATCAATCAAAGTTGTACAATAGTGTGTCGTGGTAGTGCAAGTCGAGGGCCTTTCTGACCATAACACTGGTTAAGCAAGTCCATTGTCTGGAGACTGCTGGACACAATTCCAGAAAGGAACCAACGACAAGTGCTCCCCTCCCCAAGAAACAGAAATGAAGACAATGAAAAAAATAGATGTTTAATTAGTATTTTGCTTTCAAAGTCTGTTGCTAGTAACTGGGAATAAAGCTGTTCCAGTTGTCCAAGCAGTCCTTTAAATGTCTTTGGGTGGAAGATATGACATAATACCAAACATACTTCCAACTGCAGTGTGTCAAAGTTCCCACATACCTTGGAAAAGGCAAGTCAATTCAAAGGTTCAATGTAGCTTTTACCACCAAGGATCAGTGACCATCCACAGTAGTTAAGAATCAGGACTTTTGGGCCACGTTAATTTCTTGGATATGATATCCCATCTTAAGGACATGGAGAGTGTGATCTCCATGTCCACATTCTACAGTAACACCCCACCAAGTAGCAGCATCAGGAGCAAGTAGGACAACTCTAACAAGTGACACACACTGCCACGAAATCTTGTGCGCATTTCCTGATGTGATGTTTGTTCCCTGGAACTATCGGTATGCTATTGCTTTCTCTTTTTATTGGGTGTGGGGGATCATTTGCGTGTGTTAGGGACGTGTTGCATTGTAGCCCAACTGGCTCATCATTGTATTTGAACTGAATCTTGTATTGCCCATTTCTAATTTGGAATTTGAAGCTTTTTAGTGACACTACGCAACGAAGGAATGGAAATGAGTAATTCTAGTGTTAATAAATATGTAAATTTTTGGCATGCTTGTGGAAATGGTCAATTCTGTGTGTTTTGCAACTTTAAAGGTGGAAGGTTCAAATAAACTCAAATGTGTCATGTGATCGATAGCAAAAACAGCAGTAAATCTATTGGCCAATTGGATACTTTAAGTGAAGATGTGAAGGAACACAATAAACATTTTTTGGTACAGTACCATTAATTGTTACCAGTGTTCAGTTTTTGCAATTTTGTTGCTGCTGTTTTAATACATCTCACTCTATGGTTGCATCATAGGGCTGTTTCTAGTGGGAGAGTAGTTTGAAATGGACAAGAAATGCTTATTGTTGAGGCTGAAAAAAATCTAAATTTGTTATTATAACAGTTGTAAAAAAGATATTTCCTGGTATTATAGCTTTTAGGTGGATTTACATACTGAACATTTTATGGTATAAAATAATTTTAGAGTAAGAAGTCATCTATTAATATTTTTATTGTAAGCCATGCTATATGATAGCATAGTTAACTGGATTCAACTATAATCCATTGATATATTATAGTCATGTAATAACAATATGCTTTCTTTGTGCAATTTAGCATGATGAATGCAATGTTCGCTGGAAGCGTTAATTAATACACAACAAAAGACACAAAGGTCTTCTGGTATGTGTTGCCTTTTAAATGTCAAAAAGGCTGGAAACATTTCCAAATCCAGCATGTCCATGACAAAAGAATAACATTTGGAAGAATAAAATTAAGCGACATTAATGCGATTAGCTATGTGTTGAAAGTCTTGCTCTCGCTCGCTCCCACGCAGCCTAAGTTGAACTGCATACGTTTCAATATATTGCATGAGGTAATTTTCTTTGAAATAGTTTCTTACATCTGTTGTTCCTCTGGTTATGAAAATAGCTTGACAACTTTTCTTATAGTGATATAGCTTTCATAATAACAAGTGTTGTTATTACCCCAAACAAGTGACACTTAAGGACTATGTACTTTCCAATTTTGGATATAGATAGAATTTTTGAGTTAGGGATAACCAGAATAAAAACTGCATATTTTTTTTAATTATTCTTTAAGAGGATGCTATTATCAAAGCAGTCACTAGAGTTAACTCCAATGGTTTTAGGTTGTGTAGCGCTAAAAATTCACGGCAGCTGATGATTGGCCGATACTTACATATGAAGTCGATCTCATCCACCAATCATATCTACCCCTGCAAAGGTGTAAAACTTAACCACTGTCCTCTTCTGCTTTGCGCTGTGAGAAAGGTTTGGCTGACAGACCAGCCCACCGACTCATGTCGGCACATTTACAGTTAACAATATCCAATCTTACCAACTCAGCGACTTTCGTGCTATGAATGGCTTCAGACAAAAAAAAAATTGATATCAGCCAAAATCAGAATCAGCGATCGGTCAAAAAACTGCAATCGGTGCATCCCGAATGCTAACTGCAATAATAAATCAGGACCTAATTGTTATGAGTTTAAACAATATTTTAGCATTTAAGCTTTAAGTGCGTTTTCTGAATGTCTTTATTTTAGTGAACATTTTGTTTTCAGGCAACAAAAAAAAAAACTAAGTTACGAATAATCTTGATTTTTTTTAAAGTATATTTTCCATGCTGCTAAATAATGTGATTTCATCAAATCTGTCGTTATGTGCATGTCAGCTATATGACGAGTTAGTCATATAGCGCATAAAGCGCAAATCATAATTGAGCTCAGTGGTTAATTGTGGCTGTTCATGAAACTACAAGGTCGAGGGAGCGAGAGCTCCAGCATATGAAGGGCAATATAAGTGTCTTTCCAACTGAGTAGGGTTTTGGCAGATGAAGGTGTTTGTCACATTTATACGGCGGTACTGAATGTTCAAACCGATGGACATGGCAAAGGGCTTTTGATGAGGCGGTGGTGGATTTTGCACAGAGCAGAAACTTTCAGTACAGGAGTTCAGTATCATGCTACCATCGACAGCTGCGACGTATGACTAAATGTATCTGCTCCCAGAATCAATCGGAGCTTTAACAGCTCTGTCTAGTTGCGGTATAAGAGCTTTTCTTTGACAGTTGTGTCACGCTGTGTTGTTGGATGCTGCTTGCAGGAGCTGCAGACCATTCCATTAAGGCTGTTCCACAGCAAAACCTATTCCTCAGGCTAAACTGTGGCTAATGACAATCATCCCCTCGATGGTTGCTAATGAAACACGAATAACACGGTAACAAACAAGCAAGCATTACCTCTGAGCGGCTTGGATGACAGCTGAAGACGACCGAAACGCTGCATTTAATGATTTCTTACTTTCGTCTTCCATCTATTTCACAGTCGCCATTTTCCGTGGTGGTCTGGTGTGGGCCGGATCATTTCTTTTGTAAGGGTTTCCACTCGTCCAGTCACATCTGCGACTCCAGAAACACCAAATGCTCAAATAACCGAGTCAGGTGGTGGACTACTTTATAAAAACGCCAAAGCCGACAAATTCCTTAGAGTTAGTGTCGTGGATCATTTCGTCACGTATTGTGACGCGGCGGCGCCGTGCTCCCCCGAAAGACATCGTAATGGTTCAGTCCAGATAGGAGGCATAAAAACCTGAGTTAATGACCATCTCTTTTGGGTGGCAGATTTTTTTTAGGTGATGGCGGTTAAACATCGTTTGATTCTATTAGATAAATGAAACATTCCTCTCCTGTCTGGGTTGGACATTTGCGACTCAGACGTTTCCCTGTTCACAGCTGGGAAACTGCCAATAAGGCAAAGACAGGAGTCATCTTCCAACAGGAGAGTTGATATTGTACCACCATCTGCCCAAGGTTGTCTTTTCTTTGGCCTTTGTTGTTTTTGCGACCAGCAATTTTCCTGTCCAGTCCTCTGTGGAGCGATCTTTCCTGGGAAAGACGCGATCACTCACTGTTAAAAGCACCACTGCGGTTCACAGACCGACCTGTTTCACAGTTTTCACATGTAGCGCTCTGGTAGCATCTGAAGATAAAACCTGTCAAAAACAAAAACATGCAAATGGAAATAGCTACTGCGTTATATGAGTTCAACCTTCATCTGCTGGAGAGTAATACTAACAGAGAAGGTCAAGGCTTTTGCTCCAGACGCACCTAACAATGTTGGAATAAGTACGGACCTATATGTTTATTGTTACAGGTATGTATACAAAGATTATTTAGAATGCATTATGTCGTTTATTCAACCAACATTATAGCGTCAAACTGGGCTGTTAAACTTGAGAGTTTAGAAGCTGTCAAAGTGCGTCACACGGCATTGCTAGCTTAGGTTAGCTAATGACCGAGGAGTTTTATTAAATAGTCAATTTAATACTTATTAAAATGATTCATTGGCGCTAAAAGCCGTATAAACACCAAGGTTGTTCTCAAACTTATAACAATACGACAAATACGGCCCAGCTAGCCTTTCCGTCATCATGTTGAACATTGAAACCGTTCAACTTGGCTTTTTAATGATGTTGTTTTATGTCAAAAAAGAAAATAAAAACATATAGTTTACTATTGACATTACTTGACTGATTGAAGGACATGTATTAATTTCAATCAGAAGTTAAAGGCTGTTATTTTTTATTTTAAGGGGCCTGAAATTGTAAGGTTTAACCATGACACCAAAATCTAATATGGCTACCGGCATAAAAATGGTGATAGTTGTGGTAAAAATTATATTTTGTGTGTCACTAAATTATGTAACATAGTTCTTACCAGAACATGCTGCTTCAGTGTTTTGAAGTATAAAGCAGAGAATATATTGTTAAAATTGTGTTAGCTTGCTTTGCTAATTGTGGTTTATCTGATCACAGAGCATAAGGTCATGACAAAAATTAAGATACCTCATAAAAAGTATCGTAAAAGAGTATTTATTGTTATTCTTTAACATATTGGACCTTTTTAATATCAGTTGTAGCAGTGCTTGTATACAGTTGCATACAGTGTATGCAATATAGCCAAGCCAAAGACAATAGTTTTTTAAATCTTAAAAATATGGCATAAATTAGAACAAGCTAGCAGTTATCACAACTTAAAATAGCTAAAGGCTTGAATAAAAGATTATTTAAAAAAAATAATAGAAGCAACGGTTATTACACTTGTTGCTTTAAGAAAAGCACAGTAATTATTGAAGTTTTGAAAAAAAAAGTTAATTTGTTTTTATTTTTAAGCATGTGCTCAAATGAAATTCTACAAATATTTTGAGTGCTGATTCTACTGAATGTTATACCTTTTTTAAGCAATGTTAAACCATTTAATTTTAAGTCTTTGATATACCTTGATTCCGCTAATACAGATTTACATTTACAATACTAATTATATGAATATATGAATGTTTAAATTAGAATTTCAAGAAGATCAATTTGAGTTTTTTAGATTAAATATTAACATGACTTTTGGATTTTATTTTTGCTTGTTGAATTATATGAAATGCATTAATAGCTCATAATTTAATACTAAATCTAAGCATAAAATTAAAGTGGAAACATGTAAGGAAAGACAGTAATTATAAGAAGGTTTTGTTCTCTGAAACACTAATAAAGATTTTTCTCTAATGATAATTTTAACATTTCTGACATTCCACTTTTTAAATAAAATATAAACATAACAGATATTTTTTTAACCTTCATAATAATTTTTACATTGTTGTATTGTTTTGTAAGGAGTCTGTTTATTTACCATTCTTCTTGATTGAAGTCAAACAATTTTAAATCTAAATCTGTCAGAGGTATAATCATTTTGAGCTTAAATGTAGATAAATGAAATTATTATTAATTGATTGAATAAAAAAACATTGCCTGTTGTCATAATAGAGCACTTTTCAAATATGTAGCTTTTTTTTTTTAGGTGTGTTCTTACTTTTTATTATTAACTTCATATTAAACTATTCAAAAATGTATTGGATCTGTTAAGTGAATAGCACAAGAACATAATGGTAACTTATTGTTTGATGCTTTAAAATGTATCTATTTAAAATGTATCTATTTATGGTGTATCTATTTATGAGCTTCTAATTGGTCTACATTTAAGGATAAGAGAAATATTTGTCAGTCTGTGGCATGAAAACTTTTCCTTTTTTTTTTTTGTAGCCAGACTTCTGTCACCAGTCCGCAGGCTGACTGATTAATTTTCTGAGGTTCACATTTAAAAGACAGTCTGCATTACCTGGAGTGATGTTTGATGCAGATGACTGCACACTGTCCTTGGACAGTCTGTTTTTTGAGAAGCCCACTGTACAAAAGGTGTAAGTAGAGATCCACTGCACAATTATTAATTATTGTCCACTTTCCGGGGGAAATTATCCTGTTTTTTTCCCCCTGACTCTTATTTTGACAGAAAACCATTGCCTCTGGAAGGCAGTCAGTGGCATATGGATGCACCTCCACCTCTTACACATATCCCAGCCACTCAGGACATGCAACAGGAGGCTGAATCTCTCTCTGCCTTGTACAGTATGTAATGTTTCTAATACACTGCTTTATATCTGACTTGTAGAAGCCCTGAAAGATGTGCTTTTCATTTCTCATGCTAATAGATTTGAAAGTTCTGCAGTTGAGCTTCACTTGATGTTTCTTCAGTTGTCAGAGGCATAGCATTATTGACACTTCCAGCTAAATTTCTTCTTGTGGTGTTTTCGGCACAGGGCACCCCTTCAGCTTATACAAAGTTACATTTGGTTTTAACATGTGTTCCATGTTTTGATTACCTAACAGTTAAAAGTGTTAAATTCAAGAGCTGTTAGTTTTGCTAGTAAAAGAGATGCTGGGACAGCAGAAGCAGCTCATACTTAAAGTGCTAATAACAAGACTGTAGACTTTATGTAATTTTGCAACAATGGAGAATAACAATATTCAGTGGCAGTTTCAGGTTTGGCCACCATGCCAAATAACTGCTTAGAATAAAGATGATGCCACCAGTTTGGCGGTATTTGAGATATTTACATACATAATATAACTATCAATTAAAATCTTAAGTCATGATACGTTCTTCAGCCATTTTGTGACTCCCTAACTGGACATGATAAAGTCATGACTGTGCAGGTTATGAGTCAGCCATGCTTATTATCATGCAAATATCCTTCATTTAAAAAAGTGCCGCGGCACCAGCTGGGTCAGCGGCTGAAAAATCCCACAGCCATATTGTGATGAACAGTTTGCGATTGTTTTGACCAAAATACACCCGTGATGGAAGCAGCTGAAAACGTTGACGATTGTATTGTCATCAACATTTTCAACATCATGTCCAATTGGTCATGATTTGACATGACCAATTTACTACTTATGTATTTTCAGGTATCACACAGAAGCCCAAGACGTTCCAGCCTCCTTTTAAAGGACTCAATGCCTCTTTGTCAAAAATCAACAGTTTCTCCAGTTTTAATGATGAAGAGAGAAGATTTGAGGAGACTCAAGGTCATTGCACCAGCAACTTCAGGGGAAATAGTGGTTACTCTGGTAATGACGGGTTGACGGATTACCCTGAGGGTAGTTTTCTGAGTGGTGGAGGTGGAGATGAGACCTGGCTGGACTCTTGTCATGCGGCTATCAGCAGATGCTTGCCTGCTCTACCTTTAAGAAGAAGGCAAGTGCCATTCACTTATCAGAATTCCATTAATTAAACTGGACCAAAGAAGCTACTGCCATTGTTTTCTGAAATAATCACACATGAATTGTTGTATGTGACTGCAAAGTGATTGAAATGTTTAAGTACACGTGGCCAGTGTCCATACACAGCAGGTCAACAGAGTTGGTCTCCACAGCGGGCAGATACAGACCATTATTCAGGCATGCCTTACCTAACAGGATTACTGTCTGCACCTACAGTGCCTTGCTAAAGTTTTAAGGTCTATTCTCATTCTGTTTTGTTCCAGCCACAAGCTTGAATTCAGTTTACTAGGATTTTTATATGATAGAGAAAATAAAAAGAACTGCACATAACCCTTTTAAAATGTCCTGTGTAAATATGAAAGCGATATACAATGACAAATCATTCGAAAACATTTTACAAATGTAACAAGACCTATATAAAGAAAGAAAAGCATGCAAAAATTCAGTTGCATTAGATTAATACAATACCTTTAGATTATATTTAGTTGGCGTATACTCGAGTAACTTACAAAACAAATGAGCATTTTGACCCTATGATATTTTCTACCTCCAAGCATTGATGGACAAATATCAAAGTTTGATGGATTTAATCATGGTAGGTGATTTAATTCTGTGTGATAAGATACATTTTGAGTTGTTTGTAATTCTGACTTAAATGACATGAGATGGGAAAATTTGTTTTTCATCTAGTTGCATAATGATTCTGCACACTAATAGTTGCCTAATAAATGTGCACATATATTCCCTATAAGGAAACTAAAATCACACTTTTACTTCATGTTTGAGGTTAATTAACATATTGGATGAAGCGAGAGAAACTATGCACACACAATTTCCTTCAGCTCTTTTGACATGGCTGTTGGTCTCGTAGTAGAATCTATTATTAGTTTCTCTCACATATGTATATCAGATATCTGCATATGGATGTGGGGAGAAACATCCATATATGTATCAGTTTTTCTATATTTTCTCCAATTATTGGAGAAATGATTTGAGAAATGATGGAAATTTCCCTGAGTCGTGGTGTACAAATAGGTATGTGCTGTATAATGCAGCTCCAGTCTTCAGAAGCCAGTGTCTTGCAGATGTGTCACTGCTCCAACACAGCTGACTCATGACTAAATTACCTCCTCAGGATCTCATCAGGCTCTAGAGGGGCTTGGGAATAAATCATTCATGATACAGAAGTATCATGAATACTCTGCTTCTACAATGTGTTGCTTAAGGGAAGCTAAATACAAATGCACACCGTGCTTTTTAGATTTTATTCAATTTTCTTTTAGATTTGTAATTTTTTGTAGTAATTTATGTTTTTCTATCCAACAAAATCAATTTATCTTGTGGTCATAACATTCCAAAATGTATTTGAGTTCAAAAAGTATAAATACCTTTGCACTTTCACATGCAAAACCTCTGTTTCTATGAAATGGATATATAGTCTCAATAGACTGACATTTTTGCTTGAGAATTAAAATAATTTTAACATCATATAAATAATCAGACAGGATAAAAATTCAATGTTTTAAATTGAAATGTCTTAAAAGCTCGGATTTCTTCAATATGTTTGTTTTATTCAGATCCACAATGGGTTGCTTTTCTCTATATATGTGGATTTAAGCCTGTCACAATAACAAATTTTACTTGACGATAAATTTTGCCAGAAGCTATGTGGATAAACAATAATATTGTTGTTCTGAGACCATTTTCAGGTAGCTAGTACAATAGTAATAGCATAATAATGCAAGAACACATTCTCAAATATCAATAATCTTTCATTTCTAATGAGCATTTAACACTGGAACTGAAAGACATTTTAAATAAAAAATTAAACAAAACAACAGAAACAACAAATAACATGAATTATGAAGTCTCTGCAAACAAAATTGTCCTCCAAAAAAGGACTTACTGAGACCAAAGCACCAGACTGAAGACTTTTGTCCTCCAGTTTTAGGTAGAAAGAGAAAAACCAAAAATCATTCAAATGAAAATTATCGACCTTGTTTTAATTTATTATACGATTGATTGACTACATTAAAATATCTTGCTGATTCCTTAAAGTAGGCGTGCTGTAAATATTCTCAGAGTTTTGCAAAAGAACACAAGAAGGTGTTTAGCCGTCCTCCATACTGGTCTTGCAGGACCAGTATGGACGCCTGAACGCTTTCCCCCCTCAGCAGTAGTCGTCCTTCCCCCTCTACCTTCCTGCTCTTGCTTCAGTTTCTCTTTCTCTCCTTCCACACTCAACAGCTTGTTCAGGAGTCCTGCGCTAAGCGGCGCAGGAGATTTGTCGACCAACGTCGCCCTCAAGTCTCTCAGCGGGAACGGTGGAGGTGGCGGCGGTGGCGGCGGCTGCGGCGAGAAAACATCCAGACCTCAAACTTTTCTCAGCCCGGTTGTCATGGCGACAGTGCCTCCTGCTCTCCAACTACCACAGGCTGCTGTCGGTAAAGTGGCTCCCCCGTTCTCAGGCTCGTCTGTGGCGAGCGTGCGACCTCTGCAGCAGGCGCCGCATGCAGAAACGCAGGACAAGGGTGCAAAGAGAGCCTTCGTTCCACCCATGACTCCTCAACCGCTGCACATACAAGGTTCTGCTCAACACTGATACACTCACTGTTTATCAAATAATACTCGTAATGATAAGTATTCCCATTACTGAGTGTGGCAGAAGCTGCCATAATGTGTCTGGGTAAGATGAGGCGTTATAATGTGAGCTCCCTTCATTGACTGGTTCGCTGTAATGAAACCAACTGGTCACTATGTGGTGACCACTTGAAGCTGCAGACAGTAATACTATGGAGCTTCTGAACTCACTGATTCTTCAAAGAATAATATTTGCATTTAGTTTGACTCATATATTTTATTAAAATGTTATAATTGATAAAATCTACTATTTGATTACATAATTATTTACTTGAATCAAGCTTCTACAACTAGCTGAAGAGTTACTTTGAAATTAGTTTTTTTTTTCAAGTGTACTAAGCCAGAAACACTTGGTAAAATTTTGTGTTTTGCTGTGCAATGTGGCTGTAAGCAAACATCGTCTTTGGTTTGCTTCCATCTTAGGATCTTCTGGCTCTGAAGTTCTGCGCCCCGTGTCAGAAATCCGTATCCTTTCCTGTTTGTTTCATGTACATGAAGACTTTTAGAAATTACCTGTCCACTTCTGAGCTACACTGGAAACAAGTGGAGTGATTTCCTGAAACGTGTAACGCAGCAGTGAAATTCAGATCCATCTTTAGCGAGTTCCCCTTTTTCAATTACGTCCAATCCAAAGCTCTGGATGATGTGAGTGTTAAAAGAAACCATACAAACATATTGCTAAATAAGATAATATTGTTATAATTCTGTGTTTGCAGGTTCTTTACACAAACAAGAACTTTGTAGCCTGCGCTCCCACTGGATCGGGGAAAACGGTTCTGTTTGAGCTCGCCATCATTCGCCTATTAATGGAGAGCCAGGAGCCATGGAGAGATGTCAAAGCTGTGTATAGTGAGACCAATATATAGGGCAATTTTCTCTATGGTTGGATCTGATTGGTTAAAAATATATCCAGCACATCAAATACTGAAAGCTTGGAGTTTATTTTTCTATTCATGAAATAGGCTAGGCCACCAAACTCCCACTACTTTTATTGTATAAACGCACCAAGAAACAGCATAAACCTTTTTTTTAAAGTTTAGTGACAGTCAAGAAAAGTTAGTATGCTTTAAGATATGAATTAGAACAATTGCAATTCTTCATCTCCTGTTGTGCTCAGTCCTTAAAAAACAAAATTGTTCAAAATGAGAATCAGCAGGTCAGATGTAAAAAAATAATATCAAAGGCCTCGACCAAGAAATGCCTGATCGGTTCAGGCACACAACATTATTGTAAGGTAAGGTAAAGTCATTTTATTTGTGTATCACATTTTCAGCAATAAGAAAATTCAAAGTGCTTCACATGACTGAAAGGAAATACAAACAAAATGACAAACAAAAAGAAAGAGCAAAAGAAGAAAAAGAATAATAATGTTGATCTAAAGTATAAAAACTAGATACTCCTGCTCAGGGTTGCTAGATATGTATAAGTAAGTATCACAAAGGCCCAATTCCTTTTCTGGATTTGAATAGGAGTCTGAAAAGTTATTGCTAAAGTTGTTCTCCTGGATTCTAAGTTTGTTCTATTCCCTGTTCTGAGTTTCTAAATAAATATTTTGCTGGATAAATATACCAGTAAGCAAGTATTCTCTGGACTTTCTAAAATGCTCTAAATTTGTTAGAGTAATTAGTACTCCACAGTTTCTCAGTAATAATATAATAATAATAATGATAAAAGCCCAACCGTTTGCTAAAATGAAATAATTGCAATATAATATTTTCCTGTGGGATTTGTGTCAAATTGCAAAACACATATAGAAATAAAATGATAGATTTGTTTCTGGTGGGCAGATTGTGTGTTTGTTGTCCCCAGTGGCTCCCATCAAAGCGCTCTGCAGCCAGTGTTATGACAGCTGGACCAAGAAGTTTGGTCCTCTGGGGGTGACCTGCAAGGAACTGACCGGTGACACAGAGATCGATGACTTGTTTGAGATTCATGACTCCCACATCATCCTGACCACGCCTGTGTGTGATGCAACTCAAACGAGAGCACCAAAAGAAAACCTCTGATATCTAAAACCATTGTTGTTTCCCTCAGCAGTTAAAGCATTGCTGTGTTTGGTCATTAGGAGAAGTGGGACAGCATGACAAGAAAATGGAAGGATAATTCTTTGCTGCAGCTTGTTAGACTCTTCCTTATTGACGAGGTCAGTATGTAATATCACTTATTTCACAATGTGCATCACTTGTAAAGATGAATAGTGCCTTTTTATCTGCTAGTTGGTGGATGATCAATATCACTATTGTAATCTCAACTCAGTAAAATTGGATTGATTGTGTTGATTGGCAGCCTGTTTTTGGATGTTCATTTGGGTCGAATCTCTTACCGAGGCATAATAAAAAAAATGGAAAGGGTTTGAATACTTCCTGAAAGTATTGTATCTTTCAGAAATCTTTAACTGCATCTATTATTAATAATAGATGCAATAAAAAAAAAGATTTGGTCAACTTCCTGTTAAATCCCAGACATGTTTCTGGTTTTAACCAGCATAAACAAAAAAAGTATTTCCAGGTTCATGTAGTGAAGGATGCGACCCGTGGCGCCACGTTGGAAGTGGTGGTGAGCAGAATGAAGGCAGTGAATTCATACAGGACATCTCAGAACCCAGATGCAGGCATCACAATGAGATTAGTGGCTGTGTCGGCCACAATCCCCAACATATGTGACGTAGGTGTCACGAAGAAATACGTTCAGTTAGAGATCTGTCTTGGCAGCGTTAGTAATCTGCGACTGACTTCAGAACTGCTTGGGTTGATAGATAGCTGACTGGCTGTCCAATGGGAGCGAGCCGGCCTCCTATCTGAGTCTGGATGAGAGCCACCGTCCAGTAAAGCTTCGGAAAGTGGTCCTGGGATTCCCCTGCAGCGGGACACAGACAGAGTTCAAGTTTGATTTGTCACTCAACTACAAGATGGCCAACATCATACAGACGTACTCTGACCAGAAGCCTACACTAGTGGTAAGTGGAGCAGGTGACAGTTAGTTAATGCTTTTTGCGTTTTCATGTAATCCTTGTGTGGCAATGTAAAGTAAAGCAGTCTGCAGAGGGAAAATATAAAACTCACTGGTTTTATGAAAAATTACCAAACTAAATAGAACATAAAGAAAGAGGCAGAGCCACTAACTATTGTGGATGAGCAACTGTGGAACTGCAACTTGCAGATTAGTGAGGAAACATGACAAAAATATTTCCAGGTTCATGTGGTGTAATATTAGGAAATATGACTGCTCTAGCCTTATTAACAATTGTGTAAATTAAAAAACACGCAGTTTGTGGTCCAGTGTCGTAGTTATACTTAAATGACTTTATAGAAGGTGGCAATATTTTTTTTGTTTAAAGGATTACTGCTCCCCTTTTTCTGTTTACTCTTTCTTTCATTTTGCGTCTCTTGCGTTTTGTAGTTTTGCTCAACAAGGAAAGGAGTTCAGCAGTCGGCTGCAGTTCTGGCCAAGGATGCGCGATTCATAATGAGCTTTGAACACAAGCAAAGGTGCACCATTCAGATGTCTTTATGTGGGCGAATCATTTAATAACAATATGTTGTAGATTTCTTTAGAGTATTACAGGTTTCTCTGCTGTGTTTATGAGATCTTATTGACTTTGCAGGTTGATGAAATATGCTAACTCTATTCTGGATTCAAAATTGAGAGGTAATGCACCTTGCAACATGTTAAACCAAACATTTGGGAAACTATTATATGCCGATGCATAAAAGTAGTAATAATGCAGTGTAGTTGTATTACTTGATGGCCTATTTAATTAGTACCGTGAATTGCTCTAGAACTGTCTTGCTTAATAACGATCAACTATTTGGTCAAATAACCTATTTTTATAATAACTCAAAAGTGAGACGTAAACTTGTTAAAGTCTGGATCATCTGACAGAATCCACATGTGTTTAACTAAAACATTTTATGTTAATCTTTTGGCCCAGATTTGATGATGTTAGGAGTTGGTTACCACCATGCAGGCGTTGACTTGTCTGACAGGAAGCTGGTAGAAGAGGCCTTCACCCTGGGGGACCTGCCTGTCCTGTGTAAGAGCAAATACAAGCTCTATTGAAAAACATTTTATTATTGTCATCACTCAAAAAATAGTCACAGTGTCTGTTTTGGAAAATAACTATGCCAGGAAATTACCCAATATTTTTTATAATATATTAATGGTTAAGATAATTGCATCAAACCACACAGTTTTTTTCATTGGAGTTCAATGTACTTCTCTTCCTTCTCTACAAAATGATGAGAAAACGTCAGTATGTGGGTACATTTTACAAGTATGTTTAAAATTGTTCAACCCCACAACTAAATTTGCATTTTAGTTGCATCTGACACCTTAAAATTGACTTTTGTCTGTTTAAGAAGCTCCTACACTTTCCAGCATTTCATCACAATATTACTTCTCCATGATTCCGTTTACAACAGTTTTAGAAATATTGGGCTGAGAAGTAGTTCCTATAATGTGCTCAGCCGATCTGCAGTTTAACTCGGTGTTTGCTAATTGATGCTACCACTAGTCTGGAGGAGCAGAGTGGGGGAGTCCGGAGGGAGGGCTGCTCAGTGGGGCGAGAGCTCAGCTGGGGACTAAAACTTTAAGGTGGAGCTTTGGGTAAATATGCAATGATTTGTAGGAATAGGCATCCCCGAATGGTTGTCACGGGGATTAAACAATTTCTCAAATCAAAGCAACACTCTAGGTATGTCTTTGATGAGTGATAATACAAAAATTCAAAAACAATCTTTTGCAAGGTACCCCCCCTTAAAAACCAACAGACTTGATGTAAATAATCAAAGCGTTGAGAGATCAGGTGTGGTCCCAGGCTTATGAAAAATAAATTATTTGCTTAAACTGTTATTATGTAATTTCTTTATTGTAAACACATGGACCAGTTAGAATTTTGTCCACAAAGCTAATTGGCAGAGAAGGCTGAATAATTTAAGGTGCCCTGCTGTTTGTGATGTCCCAGTTACAACCCGGACTCTGGCTATGGGGGTGAACCTTCCTGCTCACCTGGTGGTCATCAAGTCAACCATGCAGTACGTTGCCGGCTCCTGTGAAGAGTACAGCGAGTCTGACATCCTGCAGATGATTGGCCGGGCAGGGCGGCCTCAGGTAGCAACACAGTTAAAACTTGAGGGACACTTTCTGTTTTTTTGTTCTCATTACAATGTTTATTGTTTTTTTTTAATACAATGACATTTTACACCATCTTTCTCACTGCATTTAAACCCCTCAGTTTGATACATCCGCTACTGCAGTGATCATGACCAAGGTTCACACCAGAGAGAAGTATATGAAACTTATGAATGGGATAGAGATCATTGAGAGCAGGTAGGACAAAGAGATGCCTGTTCTTATTCCCCACCCCTCTTTTTTTCTTTTTTTTTCTGTCCTTCTTTCCTGCAGAAGTATACCCACAGTACAGATAATATTATAATACGCTGTGCTCCTGTAGCTTACACAGTCACCTGGTGGAGCACCTGAATGCTGAGATTGTTCTCCAGACCATCAGTGATGTCAACATGGCTCTGGACTGGATACGCTCCACCTTCCTGTACATCAGAGCCCTTAAGAACCCGTCACACTATGGTCAGCCCCATAAATTCAAATCAAGTGAGGAAGTGCCTTTGTGTGCAAGGCACTTCCTCAGTGCCTTGCATACAAATCCTTTTTCTCACATTAAAATTTGGGATGCACCAATCCACTCTTTTTACTTCAGATACATATACAGATATTGGAGGTTTAGCATTAATACAATAAAAATAATAAAGTATGACGGTTACGCCTTTATGTTCTCACTTTCTACTCAGGTTTCTCAACCAACTTAGACAGATATGGTATTGAAGCAAAGCTGCAAGGTGAGCGTTGACTGATCAATAACCTGCAAATACAATTATGGAAAGCAGGGACAAAATAGATATTAGCAAAATGCTAACAGTATTCTTTTAGTCAAAGATAAAGGTTGAGGTAACACTTTATTTGAAGGGCGTGCATAAGACTGATATGACTGTCATAAACATAACAAAACACCTTTAATGAACATGAATGTTCATGACCGTTGTCATTAAGTGTCATTTGGTAAATAATGCTATTTTTAATTTGCATTAAAAATAACACTTTTAATACAAAGTGTCACTGCAAAACTGGGACCAGATTAACACTTTTAATTTGCTTTAAACGTGTCACTTAAAGGAAAGTTGAGACTTTTGCAACATTTTGCATCAAAAATGTCAGTATTTACCGAGTGACACTTAATGACGACTGTCATAAACATTCATGAAGACTTTTTCATGTTCTTTATAGGTGTTTTTTGTTATACTTATGACAGTGTCATGACATTCTTATGCACACCCCTTCAAATACAAGCTTACTCAGTGGGATTATTCTGTCTTTTTCAGAACTGTGTCTGAAGACCCTCAACTCTCTGTCGGCCATTGATTTGATCACTATGGATGAGGATATCAACATCAAACCCACAGGTGGAGAAACATAGTATGGTAAACTTTGTGCTTTGAAAGGAGTTTCTATGTTTTTATCTGAAGACGCTTCTTATATTTTAACAGAAGCTGGCAGGTTGATGGCGAGATACTGTGTAGCCTTTGAAACAATGCAGCTGTTCAGCGGAGTAACCGGCACCGAAACACTGCCTGACCTGGTAGGCTCTCTGTGCTACAGGAAAAGAAATCCACATTCTGTGTGCTTTGGCTTAAAACAGGACTTTTGTCGGTGCAAATATTTTGAGAGAACACTTTTACTAAATTTTGTGCGCAGGTTGACCTGGTGTCAAAGAGCAAGGAGTTCAGAGACGTTCAGTTGAGAGTAAACGAGAAGAAATCCCTGAACACCCTGAACAGAGACAAGAACAGGGCTACCATCAGGTCAGACGCCTGTGAAGGATTATAAAATATCGCATCAAAACATGTTATTGATGCGATGTATGCCTCACCAGTTACAGTAATAGCAGCGTTAGATTGTTGGATGTATTCTTTTAGATTTCCACTTGAGGGAAAGATCAAAACCAGCGAGATGAAAGTGAACTGGTCGGTTTGTTTTGGTAGAATATCATATAAAAGTGTTTGTCTCAAGAACATTGATGGTTCTGATCCATATTTTCTTGTAGCTTAATTCAGGCTCAGTTGAGCTCTATCTCAATCCAAGACTTTGGTCTTACGCAAGATACTGCAAAGATCTTCAGAATCGGGATGCGCATTAGCAAATGTGAGTTTTATATAAAAAATGGCAAAAAGTGAACAGTTTCTTTTTCATTTCAGAGGCGTCTTTTTATAACCTACCTTGTGTTCTCTTCTCAACAGGCCTGTCAGAGTTTCTTACTCAGCAATCTAAGACCGGATTTTGTGCTGCACTTAACTCTCTGATCTTAGCTAAGTGCTTTAGAGCTAAGCTGTGGGAAAACTCACCTTTTGTTTCCAAACAGATGGAGAAGATAGGTCAGCGTTTCGACACACTATGCATCATAAAATGGCTAAATTCAAGACCACATTATTAAAATATATTATAACACTTCCCACACAAGGCATTTTTGTACCTAAATATCTGCGTCATTCACTTAAACTTGATGTTTTTCTGTGTCACATCGTGCTTCAGGTTTGACTCTGTCAACTGCCATGGTGAATGCTGGCCTCACCAGTTTCAGCAAAATAGAGCAAACCAACCCGAGAGAGCTGGAGCTGGTCAGCCACGCTAACGTTTTTACTGGAAACCTCTGACAACCATGCACTATTGTGTGTTTCACTGCACTATGATATACAGACACATTCAATAAATTTGAATATTATTGAAAAGTTCATTTATTTAAACTTAAATCACTATGTGAAGCACATTTTATAGATTAATTGTAGCTTTTCTTCTGTTAGTTATGATAATTTTACCACAGGCAGCTAATACAAACAGGACATTTAAAATTAGACATCAGACCAATAAAAAATAACAAAAACATGTTTAATAGAGTAATGTGAGCTTAATGAAAAGTATATTTAGTACCTAATTTTAGGATGTTATTTTCAGCTCTTCGTTTGAATGCACTTTCACATTTTTTGGATTAGAATATGACTGTTAGTTTAGTGACTGCTTATAATTGAAGTTCTTTTCATTTGAACCGTGTTTTGATTTTAACCTTTTGCCTCATTTTCTGCCAATAACAATTTTTTTGTCCCAATGCAGATTCTTAACAGACATCCACCATTTGGAAGCCAAATCAGAGAATCTGTCGTCCATCTTCCAAAGTACGACATTCACCTGGAGCAGGTGAGCCTCACAGCAACAAGAATCAGAAAAGCATCTTTGTATTAATTTGGATCATTTTATGTTTTTAAAAGATAAATTTTCTGTCCAGAGTTTCTTTTCTGTTTCATTACCAAACATTTTATTAAAATTCTCTTTGTTCACTTTAGCAAAGACAAAGAAAGCTGTAGAATTACTTCAACTCCAAGTTTAGAATCCAACATGACTGCCTCCACATATAGAATGTAGTGATAGTTGTTGTAAAGTCTAAATATGATTTTTTTTAGATTTCTGACTTAATAAACGAGTGGCATACATTATTATGAACAAGTTCAAATAGAATAGAATAAGCCTTATTGGTTCTCAGCAGCAAAGTGACAGCAGGCAAATTGTAGCATATAGATTGACACAAAAAAAAATTAATAACAGCAGTAGGAATAACATACTGTACAGTAACGGCAAACATAAGACATAAAAATACTGTTCAGTTATTAATAATTGCATTTTTGTTCCAAAGAAATTAAGTAGGAGTAGGATCATTAAAATAATGTACAAAATGTTCCCTTTTTTTCAACAAAAACAATAGGCTATTTAAAATAATTGAGAAAAGAGTTTGGGCATGTGGCATTTTTTTATCAGGCTGTGTTTGAGTAGCGGTTAGCACCAACATAAATAGCAATTCTCACTGGTTTTTGACTTGCAGCTAGAACACACTGAACTCATTCGCAGTTCCAAGCTCTGACCTTCAGGCGAATCAGATGCAGCAATAAAACATGTCTGACTTTAAAACATGTCTGACTTTTTATTACCGAGAAACTTTTTGTTGTTGTTTTGAGCGACAGCTTTTAGTTTGGTTTAAATATGACTTCTCGGCGAAGATAACTAAAACTGAGTAAATAGAGAACTTCCTTTTAACCCCTGTTCCCTCCTTTCTTACTGAACTATTCCATTTTGATTACTTCAGAATAGATTTCCATCCTACACTAGTGATTTCAACATCTGCTATCGCCACTCTTCTATCTATAAGTTTCTTGTTTTTTTTGTAGCTGCCCAGGTACAGTAGTGCCACAGCTGAGATTGTGGTAAAGGTGACCCTACAAAACCAAACCCAGCTGCTGTCCAGGAGAACAGCTCCAGACCATCACTATGTCTCTCTGATCATTGGCAACTCTGAAAACCAAGTAGTCATTCTTCACAAACTCAAGTGAGAAACATACAAAAACACAACTGGAGTTTAATCTGGTCCAAGAAGGGCTTTTTCATCTCTGTTTCTTCAGGGACTCGTTGCTGCTGAAGTCTGGCAGCTGGACCAAAAAGATAGATGTGCCAAAGGCTTCCCTAGAAAATGAGATCAGTGTCAACCTCATCAGCTCAGAATATGGTAAACTATGGAAATATCTTTAGATACATTTATGCTTAGAAATATATTAACAAACATTTCAAAAGTCTTTTTCTCTCACATGTTAGAGATGAGAGTTCATTCTCATCTCGCAGTTCATTCATATCAATCTGTAATTTGAAAACATTTATTTTGTAGATGAAAATTCAGTGTTGGGAAGTAATTACACTTAGTTTTTTTTATTTTTTGGGGTAAAATGCAGAGTTTTATTAAAACAGTAGAATTTTCAGAGCTCGTTAAACTTGACTTTGTCGTTCTTTGCAGTGGGTTTGGACATCCAGCTGAAGTTTCCTGTGTACTACTCTGCCGCAGCTCAAAATCTTGGGACTGAAATTCCACAAAGCAAAACAGATAATCTTGTTGGACAGAGAGCTCAACGCTCCCACTGCGCTGAGACTCAAAAAACCTCATCTGGAAAGAAGCAAGGCAATATAAAGCAGCTTAAAAATGATGGTTTTGGTTGATGCCATAAGGTAAAATAGTTTTTGTTCCTTACATCAACAAAGAGAGCTGACTCTTTTTTTTGGTGTGTGTGTGTGTGTGTGTGTGTGTGTGTGTGTGTGTGTGTGTGTGGTGTGTGTGTGTGTGTGTGTGTGTGTGTGTGTGTGTGTGTGTGTGTGATCAGACTCAACCAGTAAAAGACAGTGCAATCATTTCTGCAAAAATAAGAACCTCTGTGCTCATGACTGCTGTGAGTAAAACATATAACTTTTTCTGTTTACTGTGTCAGTAATTTGCGTGTTTCCTTTTGTCAATTTTGTGTTGACCCCTCTGTATTTCCTCCTTAGGTAAAGTAGGTCTTGCTGTAGGACAGAAAAGGTCAGCCAACCATGAATCCAGCTTCTCCTCTTACTTGGAGGACCTGAGGAGCAGGTCTGACTTACTTGCACAGACCCCAGTCAAGCGCCTTAAGGTAGACAAGAAGATTTCTGTAGTGCCTCTCTGCTTCAATGTTAGTCTATATAATAATCATAGCTTTACAACTTGTTCTGGCCATTGTTGTAGCTTTTCTGAAAGACTTTTCAGAGTTCGGTAATGAACCACTCTTGTACTTTAAGTTCAGACAGATTGCAAGGTTATGCTTTTCTGTCAATATTTATTTCTCATTAAGCATTTATTACCGGCTTATGACTCATCCAGGCCTAAAAATACAAGTGATCAACTGTTGTATCAACACAGAAAGGAAAACATAGGAAAGAATATAGAAAGGCATACAAGATATAAGTGTAAAACCCAATGCAGTTATCAATTAATCTACTGATTAAAAAAACATAAGTTGGCACATTCTTCAGATTTTTCACTGATTCTGTTCATTTTTGTTCTAAGGACAATCCTTAAATACAACATCTGTATTTCAAAGTTCATTCTATCAAGGACCTTGTATGTGTGTTGGTGCAAACGCCTTTATATGTAAAATATTAAGTTTAATATTGCCACATATGTGCTTCATGTTGAATGTTTCATGTTTTGTGATCAACAGATAAAAATGAGTGAAGAGTCTCCGTCTGTCAACATGAAGAAGTTTGCTTACAAACCCAGAGAAACGCTTCCCTCTGACTCCTGGTATTTACATTTCATTCATTCATTCATTCATTCATTACAAATACAATCCATCAGTTAGGTCATTTAGTTCAGCTAGTTTTTGTAGCTAAAATGCTAGCTTGTAACATATTGGAAAACCTTTAGACAAGAGATAAAACAATAAAAATAAAAATTGGTACACCCAATATATTTCATCTTTTATTTAGATATTTACATGTAAAAAGTTGAATATTTCAAAGAAGAAATGAGATCGTTGATCTACTAGACAATATTTTTCAGCTTTCTAGTAAAAAGGTTAAGTGTCCCAACTTTTTTTTTCTGCTTTGACTGAGACTTATGCTTCCATACTGTGCAGCTCTAGCAGATCTGCATTTCGTTTTGTTTTTGAAAATCAGATTTTCTCATTTCATTTTTCACAACACTAAGACATGATCCCTAGCTTTTTCTGGCATCTGTTTGATGAAAAGTTGTGGCTATATAAATGCTAAAACAAGCATCGTGTGAGTAAACTTTGATATTTTAAGCTTTTGTTCTGTGTGTTTGTGTGCAGGCATGCAGGAAATGGGTATAAAAGTGGAGAAACGGAGCTGACAGCTGAACGCTTTGCTGAGCTGCCTGATGTAGTTTGTCTGGAGGATTTTGACAGAGGTAAACAAGCTGCAACATTAAGAGTACATTAAACTCCACAAGCCTTTTAACACAGAACTTGAGAGATCCATCAGCCTGCAGATGATCATCTGCTGTGGCCAGTCTTTGGCCCTCCTTGTAAACACAAATAATAATAACCACCTTTCAATGTTTGAAACTCAAAAATGTTTTAGAGGTTTTAGGTGAAAATTTATTCCTCCTTTTGTTTTCTGACCACAATGGCCCACCATTGTACTAACCTGATTTTGACAGCATGCATTTATTTTTTTTGTTCTACTGTCCTATTGTTTCTTTTTCAGATTACCGTTTCCATGCAGAAAATGGTCCTGATGGAATGGCAGAGACTTTCCAAACTTCTCCTGCAGCACCAGCTTATCATCAAAGTACAGCGATCCATGTTCTGCATAATTAGTTAATTTTGTTTATAAATATGGCACCTTCTGTGGCATGTATGTTAAGTGCCATATGTTTTTTCTCTTTATAGTAATTAAAAAATAACTTGCTTGTGATGTAGAAAGTTGAAATCTCACGCTGCACTTTTCTAGAACTCTACAACTATATTTTATTTTACTTCCTGTCTGTTTTCTATATAATTTTTCTGTCCAGTTTCCTCAAAGTGGATGACCCTGAAATCCGGCTCGGGCTCCAGACCGCCTCCGAACCAGATCAGCACAGTCAGCTCAGCTTCATCGGGCTGGTCTACTGCGGTGCCAGAACAAAAACACCCCTACAAAAGTCCTTCATCTCTCCAAATACCAAGTGTCACCTTTGACCTGGGAAATGAATGGGATGACTGGAGAGATTTTGATGATGAAAACTTGGTGAATGCCAGCGAAACATCACCACCCCCATGTACAAGCAGCTTTCAGCCTCAGGTGCAGCAGCATGTTCAAAACAAGACATCAGGTAGTTACATTTTAAGTCAAATTTAATTGGAAAATTTTTTTTAATGTTATTTTATCAAGGCTTTTGTGTATTTTATGATCAATAAGACTTTTGGAATATCTCTCCATTAGAGATACACCAATAAATCTTCACCAATTTTCTAAATTATGGGAGATTGGAGAAGGGCGCACACTTGCATGATTAACACTAGTGACCCCCTTTCACCAACTTTGCTACTTTGTCTCTATATGTAGCAAATCTTCAGAAAATAAAAAATCAATATAAACCAAAATTGTTATGATAAATCAGGCTTTTAAAAGATCAATGATAGGCCAGAAAACTCTAATCTGAACAACCCTCCTTTCCATAACTGTGATGACTATATGTTTACTTATGGTGTATTTTTTGACAGCACCAGTGCTGCTCAGCAGCTCACAAGCAGAGCCCTGTATGACCACTTTCACTACTTCACTGAGGTCAGACTTCAAAAAAGGATTCAATCTAGCCTCTTATTACAGCTGAATTTATAACATAAAACCACACTTATCTAATAACATCTTTCAATTTCATGCTTGTTTTAGGTCAACTTCACATCCAAATCCTGAAATCAGGAAAGTTGGAGCCTCTTCTATCAGTCAGTCATTCACACCACAGAAGAGGATTGCACTGGACTGGGATAAACAGGTGTGAGCATGCTGGTTGTCCTTCTATTCTTTCTGTTTGACTTGCTAATTGAACGTGATCTGAAGTGCCGACGTTGCTTCTTATTGTTGGTGTGTTGTTCTTTGTTGTGGGAGTTGTACAGTTATTGTGTTCTTGTCTTTCATTTTGTGTAGAGACCAAATGTTTTCAGTGATGTTTTCAATGCAAAAACACCTGAAAAGCTCCCAGCACATACTCTGGGTGGACAGGTTAGCAGAAGGTTGAATTTCTTCTCCACAATGAATGCAACATTCAACCCAGCTCTTCATGAAAGGTAATCTGATCTCACTGTTTATCTAGGGATGTCCCAATCAGGATCTGTCGTCCCAAGTGTTTTAAGACGGGTTATCATCAGCATTCATTAAAACTGTGTAAATTGACAGTGCAGTAAAATCAACTTGATTAATTTTATCTGTATTACATGGTCGGTATTAATATTGTGACTGTATCTCACCTAACAGACAATAAAGTTCCAGATGCTACAGTCTGTGCTGTCACTTTTTCTTGACAGCACCAGATTTAAAGTATCAAAACTTTTCAGAATCAAATCTTTTCATTACAGGGAGTCACTGTTTAGTAAAAACTAAATAATGTGTATAGTAAAACTAAGCTATGCCTTTGGAAAAAAATATATACCTAGTTTCTTTTTAATAATAAGTTGTGTAAAAGTCAACCAGATGAGTTGATTGGACTGTAGTACACCAACAACAAGTATCCAGAATTGCATTTTAATGAGGGCTCTGATAGCGATTGTTTCTGTGACTGGGACTTCTCTACTTTTATTAAGGTGATTTTATTTTTGCATGATTAATATATAATTGTATTTTAATAAATCTTCATGTTCATTACTTACAGCTCAGAGGAGGAAGCTTTCCTTGGCATATTTGATGGTATATTCTAGAATATACTATTGTCTAAGAGATCTGTTACAGTTCAGTGTTCAATGCTAAACTTTTATTCTTTCACAAACCTCTCAGAACTGTATTGGTATATTGAGTTATATTATATGTGTTTATATTAAACAAGTTGTTCCTGTTCTATTTGTTGTAATGAATGTATTTATGCTTGCTATTAAATAAATCCTACGTTAACTTGTTTATTTCTTGAATCGTGGTTAAATAAGAATGAAATTAATAGTTGCAAAAGTGAGATTTTGTTTTTCTTTTTACTAGAAAAGGTTCAAATTATGTTTTCATTTGTTTAGACAAATTAAAGTCATATAGCAGTAATGACAAGTACATTTTTCAATTTTTTAAATGATTTTATTTTGTAAACAAGTTTTACATAGCCAAACAGTGACAAGAATTAATAAAACATTCATTAATCGGAGTAGAATTTTGGAAAATACAAATGTTTGCTTAAATAAAAAGCAAAGGTCTATCTCATAATTTGTGACACATGTCGGTTTTACTTTTGCTTTCTTACAGTAAAGATAAGACAACGAACTTTAATTATTAGGAAAAATTTAAAAAATCTACAAAGTTTTATATGGTTTGTGCTTTTTGTGTCGACCAGAAAGTATTTGTAAAACTCAGCACTCAGGCCATCGATTCCGGGGGATTTGTTCATTTTGAGACGTGAGATGGCGTCCTCAATCTCTTGTAGAGAGATTGATTCATCACAACATTCCCGTTCACTATCAGAAATTTGACTAACTGATAAATTGATCATCAGGGCATCAGCTGAAACTTGACAGAAGTTAGAGAGATGAAGAGATTCATAGAAGGAACTACAATATCTAGCTATATCATCAAGGTTATCTGTAACAGCATTGTTAATCTTTAGCCTGGTAATAGAGTTATTGATCGAATTATGTTTTTCTAGATTAAAAAAGTAATGAGTGTTTTGTTCTCCTTCTTCTAACCATTTTCTCCGTGATCTAATGAAGGCTCCTTTACTCTTATTGATGTAAAAATGATCCAATTTAATTTGTAATTCAGTTAATTCTTGTAGCTACACTAAATATGTTTATCAGTGATTTCAGTCTGTCATTGACGCTTCGCGCAGACCACGTGATTTGCGCTGAATTATCGCGAGATGTCTCACGTCACTTTTAGCGCGGAGTTTGTTGTCGGCGGAAGAGGCTCTGTCAAAGTTACAATAAAGTGTTTAAGTCGACTTTACCACAAATAAACTTCCAAAGTTAACATTAAACTGAGGAGAGAATACGTAAAGACGATATGGCGGATTAATGAAACCCGTATTTTCAATTCTGTGACTTTCAATAACCAAGTGAAGCGGTAAGTTTCTTTGTTTTGCTAGACGTTGCGGCTAGCTTGTTCTGCAGTGGTAATGTCAGACTTATGTTGCACTTTTCTTTGGCATATGTAACTTTTAACTAGATCATCTGTCTAGTGACTGCAGGTCCTTGTTTTAATTTGATATTGACAAGATCAAGATTCAAAGTGAGTAAGTTTAAAACCTGAATGTTTCCAGTAAGTTTGTCTGCATATCTGGTTTTCAGATGGAGCTTTCTCCTGTCTGCTCTGAGGACATCAGCTCACATGGAGGCATTTTGAAATCAGACACAGCTCACAGGAAAAGAAAAATCTCAAGTGAGTCAGGAGTTTTATGACAGTCGAGCCGTTCTGTAGAATACACAAACAACTAGTTTAAAACGGCGCTTGTTTTATTTGCAGCGTAATTCACACGTGTAATATTTCAGTACAAGTGTAAATTCTGAATTAACTAGATCTATATTGATACTGTGCTTAGGTATAGTGGCTTCCAAAAGTATTCATACTCTACTTTTTCCAGTTTTATTTTGCCATTTGGATTCTTTGACTTTGTAAACTGTGGGAAATCAGTTTTGTATCCAACAGTGACAAAGTGTGAAAATAGTGTTTTATTGACCTTTGAATTAAAAACACAAAGAAGAAATAATACATTTTCTTGTATAACTAGATTTTTTTTTTTGGAATAACATTTGGAATATTTCTCCGCTGCACCTCACTTTCCTTGGCATGCAAATGCAGATCCCAGTCAGACTTTGATCTACGTTTTGTAAATTAACCTGATCAGAAAAGGCAAGTGAAGGTCAACAGAGCTACTTGGTACATATCTAATGCAAAAAAAGTAAGCTATATTGAAGGTCCATAAAAACAACAATATTAATAATTTTCAAATAGATGACAGTTGTGTCATTTGCACATACTAAATAAACTAATAATTTCAAAACAAAAATTACTTTTGTAATTTTTTTCTCACTCAGTTTTTCTTCAGATGTCTTGTCAGGGAAAAATTTGAATTAGCCTCCAGAGGTTCTGTTCAGTTGCAGGGCAAGGTCTTTTGGAGCAACCCCTACAGTCCAAAAGACCTCAGCCTCTGAAGTATTTGGCTTTTCTTTTTGATGTCTCCATTTTTGTATGAAGTACTGAGAGAAAAACTTAATCAAATTGTAGCATGACACTGCATCTGAACAACTTTCTGAACCCAACATTGTCTGAACGTTTAGTTTCACTGCATTATAGCCACCATTCATCTGTTTTTCTTTCATGTTCAGAGGATGTGGAGCTGGATATTGAGTCCCTGTACAAAGCTGTCCCTCAGCTCTCCAAAGTGTTTCACATCACAGACAAAATTGGAGAAGGTACAAACAACAACTTTATTTTAAGTTAAATTTATCCGTGTTGTTAAATCCAAGCAAAAAAGTCTTCAGAAAGATTCATTTATTTGCCTTTAGGCACCTTCAGCTCAGTGTACTTGGGTGAAGCCCAGATGCGTGATGGGAGAAAAGAGATGTTTGCACTGAAGCATCTCATCCCCACCAGCCATCCGACACGCATCGCTGCTGAACTTCAGTGTCTGACTTTGGCAGGGTGGGTCCAGCACTGTTTACTTCCCTAACATGTTTTTTTGTTCTTGTTGTTGTTTTATAATGTTAATGAATATAGCGCATTGTAGATATTTGAACTTGAAAACTACTCCTGGTAAATTAGTGAGGGAGGGGGTTGTTTTGTTTTTTGTGACAAAATATTTCATTCCTAATAAATTTCCCCTCCTACTGCAGCGGCAGGGAGAATGTGATGGGAGTGACGTACTGCTTCAGGAAGGCGGACCACGTTGTAATCGTAATGCCATACATGGAGCATCAACCTATTGTGGTTTGTACATGTTTACAAAGTAAACTTGCAAAACGTATTTTTCATCTATATGCTTTCACCCTACTGTAAATCCAAAATTTCTGCAAATTTATAAAACGTTTCAAATTTAATATTCTTAATTTTAGGCTTGAGTCTATCCAGATTTTTCATACTAGATATTATTTCCTTTTCTTCTGTTAGATTCATCATTCATCACAGAAAATATGGGTGATTTTAGTACCTGAAAACTATTTTTTGTATTTCTTATAAAGTGTACTGTATACTAGAGATGCACTGATATGATATTAACATATGCATTATTTCCAATATTTAAAAAAATTCTAGATTGGGTATCAGCCACTGTGGTCTGAGTCATAAGGACAGACCTATTGAGTCAAAATCTGTGCTTTGTGCTCTTAGTGACGTCATGCTTGATTAGAATTTCTAATTTCACTTTCTGAACCATTTGGAAGAAGTTTGTGGTAGTTTATTATTTACATGTTTGGCTAAGGTTAGTCAACCTATTGCTTTTGTTAATTTCAGTTTACATTGGCTGTTCTACTCCTAATTACACTGAGTGAACAAATGAAAGTTGTTTTAAATGTTTGACCAAGTTTATCAGGCTGTTGATGTATTTAAGTGGGATGTACTGATGCAGAGTTATCAAATACATTTTTTGTAATTCAGTTCATTCAAGTCTATTTTTATATTTTGAAGGGAACATTTTAAGTTTATTCAGCACTGTTTATCTGTATCGTATCGGTATTGGCCAGTACGAAGCCTCAGATATCGGAATGGAAAGGGAAAAAGGTGGATCAGTGCGTCTCTACTTGTGTACTCAGGGACAGTCCTGAAATTCGGTAGCTGAATTATAAAACCATTTAAGTCACACCCCAGACATTAAAAACTCACTTTTCAAGTTGACAAAGTTCTACTGAACTTGCTTAAGTTTTGAAGTTAGTAAACTATGTTAAAGTAAATTCTGAGGCTTCTTTTAAAAATGTTATGTTGGTCTTATTTAAATTGTAACTGATTTTAGAAAAGATCTTTAAAAAGTCTTGAATGTGACTCACTCTATTGATGCAGCTGTCAGTTCTTGTATCTGAACTGTAACATGTTCTTCAGGACATCATCGGGTCACTGAGCTATGAAGAGGTCCGTCTGTACATCTACCACCTGCTGAAAGCTCTGAAACACATCCATCAGTTTGGGATCATCCATCGGGACATTAAGCCAAACAATTTCCTCTACAACAGGAAGCAAAGAATGTAAGTGCTTTGTGAACATAATTCTGCTATGATGGGTTTTCTGATGAAAGAAGATATTTTTTTTATGAATTTAAACCCAGGTTTAATGTAGCGGGTAACATTTCCAAGGTAAATTCTCATTATTCTGCGTGTGCAAATGTAGGTATGCGCTTGTGGACTTCGGCTTGGCTCAGGGAACCGCTGACTCCCAGATTGAGCTGCTGAAGGTGATGAGACAGAAGCCATCACAGAAAGGTGGAGGGCTGCCAGGGAAACGGGAAGCAGCACAAAGAAGCAGAGCATTTCCTAAACCCCCTGTTAAGACCAGCACCGCTCCAACTTCACTAGCTCTACCGCCACACCAATCAGTACCTTCTACCTCCTCTTCTTCCTCCTCTCCCTGCATCACCACATCCTCCCCAGCACCTGGGAAAGCACTGGTTAGAAAAGCACGGGCCACCTCCACCTCCTACTCTCGAACAAAACTCACAAAGGTGCCTACACTGAGATGTTTTACTGTCATTCCAGTTGTTTTGTTGTAAAATATGCACAATTTAAAAGGGTGTTTTTCCTGTGTCTGTTTTCTTCTCCCTGCACTACATTTTTGGCCTTTGTATGTTTTGCTGTAGGATTTGGCAGGACTCCGCAGAGTTCCTCGACCAGTGTTTGGAGAGAGAAATTTGAACAGCTGCACACCAGCGCCCCCTACCTCTAAGCATGCACCACTTAAGACTGAAGTAAGAAATCCAAGGAGGGAGAGTTTTCTGTAGGGCTGCAACGATTAATCATAAAATTAGAAATTCATGTTTATTTCTGTTGAATATTTCAAAGTTTCCATCGTTTTACTAATGAGTTTCTTGCTGTCCCAACACAAGTCGCTAAAAGCCAAGAAGACAGCGGATGCAGCCAGCTACAAACATGCTTCAGCCAACCGGGGCCTGGTGTCGGTCAGGACGTCCAGCAGCAGCCAGAAACCACAGCGGGCCCCTCAGCAGGGCCTCACATGTAACTGCTACCTCACTGATCGCGTCTGCAACGTCTGCCTGGCCAGGTAAACAGTTGAAATCATTACTAATTCACTGTATTCTAATTTACTGGCTTTGTAAGGTTCATCTCAGCTGTATAAGGAACAATCCTATTAAATTACACATAAAGGCACTTTTGTTAACTATTTAGTGTGTGATGTTTGGTGTATGTGTGTGTGTGTGTGTGTGTGTGTGTGTGTGTGTGTGTGTGTGTGTTAAGAAAGCAGCAGGTTGCACCAAGAGCGGGGACTCCCGGTTTCAGAGCACCAGAAGTCCTGACCAAATGTCCCAACCAAGGCACAGGTTAGTGTTTGATCCAGTTATTCACAAGTTTGCCATAATGCACAGTGCCTTCAAATAGTTTCACTTCAAACGCAAAGTTTAACGTAATTCATTTGAATTTCACTGTAAAATACACAAAATAGTGTATAGTTACAAAATGGAAGGACAGTGATTTATGGTTTTCCACATTTTTAACAAGCAAAAACCTCAAATTGCTTGTACATTTCTACTCCAGCCCTTTGACACTCCTAAATTACTGACCCATTCAATAAATTAGAAAATCATTGAAAAGCACATTTATTTCAACAGTTTCATCCCTAAGAGAAACACTATACAGTATATAATTATTTCACTCACATTGATATTTGAAAGCCTTTATTTCTGGTCATTTTCTCCTTATAGTTAATGAAAAGATGACATTTAAGTTTAGAATGTTACATCAGAGCAACAGAAAAAAAGGGAAATAAGGGCTTAATGTTTAATACCTGCGAGAAGGTTGTTTTCAAAAATGTTCTTTTGATCTGACAAACGAAGCTCATCGTGTATTTTAATTTACTGAATATGACTGAATTCTCTGGTTCTTTTTAATATTGTCTCCAGATCCACTATTTTTCAGATCTATATGAAAAAAAAAAAACCCAAAACAAATATTCTAATCCTGGATGAGCGTTGTCTACTTTTAAATCAGACCACACTCTGGCTGACCTGGAACATAAAATCCCATTTTAAAGAAACAGTATATGGCTATTACGTAATAAACATGTCGACCATATGAACACTTTAGCAAGACAGTCAGATTTCTAACTGCCACAAAGGCCAATTGATCTTTTCATGTCTTCTTCCTGTCCATGATGGTCTCTCGTCCTTCGTCATAACACCCTGCGTTGCAGCCATAGACATGTGGTCGGCTGGTGTGATCCTGCTGTCCCTGCTCAGTGGCCGCTACCCCTTCTTTAAAGCCAGCGACGATCTGATTGCCCTCGCACAGATCATGACCATTAGAGGCTCCAGAGAGACCATTCAGGCTGCAAAGACATTTGGTATGCACGAACCTGTATCATTCTTATATCATGTTTCAGATGTAAAACTGATACATGATATCAGTAAACTGGTTTTGGGGGTTGAAACTTGTCCAGGAAAAGCAGTGGTGTGCAGCCGGGAGCTTCCTCGCCAGGACCTCAGGACGCTTTGTGAGACGCTGAGAGGACGGCGGTCTTCAGCGGACGTCACCACGGTTCCAGAAGCAGGTGGAGAGACGTCCGCCGCCCGCAGGAGCACAGACCAAGATGAAACTCCAACACCCTGGCCCAACGGCCCTCAGCTCAGCACGCACAAAGAAGAAGTCAGTGAAACTTGCCCAGAGCAACACAGACGTTCAGGTAGCAGCAAAGCCCCAACCAATCAGAGCTTCCTGTCAGAAAGTAAAGTGGGGAATGATAAGAAGGGCTGGGACAGGGTTCCTGACGAGGCCTTTGACCTTTTGGATCTGCTGCTGGACCTAAACCCCTCCACGAGGATCACAGCTGCTGACGCTCTGCAGCATCCTCTCTTTAAGGATCTGTCAGCAGGATGAGAGCGTGTGGCTCTCCAGGCTGGGATTAGAACTCTTAATGAATAAATAGTTCACATGATTGTTTAGCAGGGTAAGAGTTCATATTGGAATGAAGAAGTTATCTAAGAAGAAGACTTTAAAATAAAACATTGGTGTAAATAAAGTTTAGACATTTTTCATGGCAGTCATGATGTAGACTTCTGTTTTGTTATGTAGTTTGAAAACTTTCATATAAACATTTGAGGGCTTTTAATTTGACTGATTTCTGCTGGGTTAGCTGCTGTCATTAATAGTATTTATTTATATGGAAATGTCTTTTTTTTTTAAAGATTTTCACAATAAAATCTCCACTGAACCTCCTGCTTTTTACAACCTGAAACAATAGAGCCATTCTTCTTCAACTTAAAACTAACCACCAGAACTGCCTGTGCCATAATCATCCTAGAGCAACTTCTGTTCTAAAACAGACTTTTGAGTTAAAACCTATGCAAACGCATCTAGTGATTTGTGGAAATGGGCATCTGAGGAACTTAGAATCTATTATTTTTGTAGTTGCCACAAATTCTTGCACGATTCTTGGTTGGTGGTGCTTATATGAACTTACTACTTTCCCAGTGCAGACATTTAAACATTACGTACATTTTTAATAGTGTTAAAGGTTTAGGCTTCCCCATAAGCTTCAAATCAACTTTTTTTGGTGGTAAACTGTCTATAAATATTTTTAAGGGTGCCATCTTTGTGTGAATTTAATTTTGTGATATTTTGCCTAAAACTGTCTCAGATCTGGTCTCCTAAGGTTGAATAGTGGCCAATTGAATTTTCCTATTGTTTACAAGTGTACAGCGACTCCACAGCCCTGCCATAAGTATAAAACAATATCAGACATACGCCTCCTAGTGGTGAGTCAAGAGATCCAATAGGGAGTCTCTAGATTTTTTGCTAGCTGGTCCAAAGATGTCAACTTTTGTCTTGTCTGAAATTTAGTCGTCTAAGTTTGTTTTTTCACTGAGACTTTCCTGTAATCTACCTTACTGAATATATATTTATATATCTATATATATCTATATATATATATATATATATATATATAGATATATAAAAGACAAGAACCCTAAAGTACTCCAAAAGCAGCCTTAGAGTCTATTGAATGAACACCATCCCTAAATTTAAGTAAAAATCTAAACAAGACTGTTTGTAATGACATGACATAAAAATGTCAGTGGGCCGAATGGAAACATCTTCAGACTTTGCTGATATATGTATAAAAATGGTGAATTATCACATTGTAATAAAAGCACAGATTGAATCAAATGTATGAAACTTCTTTGTTTTTATTATCAGTTACAGCTCTATCAGAATATACACAAGGTACAAGAGCTGACCCTTTCATCTTAGAAAATCTGAAACAGGGAGGAGAAACAACAGTCGAGTGGTTTGAAATGATACATTTACATATTAGGCCCCGCCCCCTTTTGTTTTGTTAGGCTCTGAGAAGTTGGGGCTCTCCTGCAGTTTCCAGGCCGTCCTTCACCTCCACCAGCTCCTCTATCCGCACCAACACGCTCTCGATCATGTCGAATGTGTGGAGCGCCGAGTGCAGAGCCTGAAACGAACCAATCGGATTCAGTCACATGTAATTGTCCTGCTTGGTTGTGTTTCATTTGGATGCGATGGTCTGACCTGAATCTGAGATTCTGATGTCATTTTTGGCAGCTTCTCCCCACCAACAGAAACAGACAGCACCGACTCCTCTGTGGAATAACATGCCAACATGCTGTTAGAAAAACAAGCCATCTCTGGGAGGCTGGAGGGAAATGTTGTTACTGACTGTGACCTTTGGCGTTTTCCTTCTTCTTCTCCCTGGTGTCCTGCAGCTCCCTCTCGTAGTGGGCTCTCGACATGTTCACGCCGACACGCAGAGGCTTCATGAACGTATCTTCTATTTTATACAGCTCGGTCCAGACGCCGGTCTGCAAGATGGCAAAACGTGAGTGGCCTGCAACACTTTAACATTTTTAAACATGCACATTAGAAGACATAAATCAAATGTTTAAGGTTCCTTCTCTGTGTTCTTAGTAGCATGAGACCATAGGGTCTCCTTCCACTGCCAGACTGCTCTCTGCACTCACCTGGTTCTCTGTTACTTTGTCTCTGATGACCAGGTAACGCAGCAGGTTTAGAGACTCCATGACTCTGCAGGAAAATAATAAAGAAATAGTTATGTTTTGGCCAGTATCAACATCTGGCATTAATATTTGCTATTCTCTCGACACCTTGAAAAAATAAAGAACCACACTGTTGACAGTTCAGTCAAACATCAAAGTTTGACTGAACATCACTACATGACCAACTTCCTCTTCCAAACAGCAACATGGAAATAATTTATTCATATTGACCTAGCTCAGTGCTTCTCAATTATTTTCCGTTACGCCCCCCCTAGCAAGAAGAAAACTATTCGCGCCCCCCACTCCCCACCGTGACTATCCATCTCTGCATAACATTTTTTCCTTATTAACATTTTTTTCGCTGAAAAAACTCTAGCGGCTTATCGGCGTGATTGGGATGTAACGTATTTAAGTGACGCGCTAATTTATTTGGCTTCATGCTGTCCGCTGCGAGCATTTTTAGACACAGCAAACACAGCGGTCTTTCCTCTTCTCCAACTGTAGTCACAGTGAAGCCAAGCGCTAAATACGCTTCGTCGTATTTCCTCTTCTTAGCTTTCGGTTGACTTTCTGTTGTCTCATTATCTTTGTCTCTCTCCGCTTTTCTTTTCATCCCTGTGAAAAACTTTTTCATGTTGGGGGTTGTTGAATAACGGAGGCCATAGACAGAACGCAGTCGGAGGTTTTTGTTGACTTAACACTGCTAACCAAGGCAAACCTGTTGTCTTGTAAGTCATAAAATGTTGCACTGTCGCAAACGTGACAGAAGTAACAATGAGAGCGCCACTGCCGCCTACTGTGCGCAATTACTTTATACTAGTTTGGCCAAAAAAAAGCCTGTTCCCCAGGATCACACGCGCACCCCCAGGTATCGCACCGCGCCCCCCAAAGGGGGCCCGCCCCACTATTTGAGAAGCACTGACCTAGCTTTAAATATTGGACTGATACAGATCTGTTAAAAATGACTAATATCTGCCGATACTGATGTTGGTGACAATACTCTGTGCATTCCTAAAAATAATAAGAATCTCTTAGGAAATTTGTGCGGAAGGTAAAGATTAGGGTGATGGCAAGCAGACCTTCCAATATCCAAATCATCAAAACTGCTGATGGAAACATGTAAAAAGCTTCATAAGAAGTTTACTGCAATACGAATAGAGATTTTCACCTGATTAATTGAAACGTTGTAATTAATGATCAGCATGCAAATCTCTAATAAAATGTGAATAAAAATATATCGATTAAAAAAAAAACTGGTTATTTTACATTTTATCAATTTTTCAGAGACACCTGTCAACTTTGCTAAATGAACTCATTGAGTCAATGTGCTCCACTATATATTTTGGGTTGTGATTTTGATGGAAGGTTGACCTTTGACCTTGTTTGACCTTGTTGAAGTCTGCAACATGTTTTTTGTTTCTTCAGAATTTCTCTCCTGTCTTCCCTTTCCATCCTTTAAAACAATCTAAAATTCAAGTCAATGTGTGTGTGTGTGTGTGTGTGTGTGTGTGTGTGTGTGTGTGTGTGTGTGTGTGTGTGTGTGTGTGTGTGTGTGTACCTGTCCAGGTACTGCAGGAGATCCGTCTCTGGGCCGTCTGGAAGACTAAATACCTTGCGCAGCAAAGGCAGCAGGTGAACTCCCTCAAACCAGATGTTGCCGTTTCCCGGCTGCAGACACAGAGTGAGAGAGACACTGCAGGTCGGCTCTGAGCTGCAGCACAAAACTGCAGGAGCAGACAGCCTGAGAGGCCCCTTTACCTGCAGAGCTGCATCGATCTGATTCTTGATGTTTTTAATGATGTAGCCTTCTACTCCTGAGTGGCTGCTAGTCCTGAGCATGTATCTGAGACAAGGAATAGAAACGAATTCCAGAGTCTGTGACAGGAAAACATTCATGCGGTCTCTGCGGGGGGAATGTGGAGCTTACTGGAAAAATCGGTACTTGGCTTCAGTGTTGAACTTGTCGATGCTGAGCTGGAACACCTTCAGTCCTTTAGTCCTCTGCAACCAAACGACAAGAACAAAAACCAGCAGGTCATTTTCTCACACAAACTGTGACAATCATCCAAATTGAATCCAAATTGAGAAAGGTTTAAAAATGTCCAGAGGTCTTACCAGATCATGCTTGGGGCAAATTGTCATGACCTTTACTAAGTTCTGAAAAGGAGACAAATGTTATTAGAAAACTGCTTGAAACATACTGAAGAGGGTTAAAGATGGCGTCATAATGAACTGCGGTCACCTGAGGGACGGTGAGGAAGGTTTTGATCTCGAGCAGATCCGCTGGGAGACTGCCATCCTCCACCCGCACCAGACTCTTCTCATACAGCTCCTGAAAGGATGGAGAAACACAGAAATCACAGCCTTACCTAGCAAAGGTTTTACAACACACTTTTAGTCCCATTAGGCCACAGACTGCAAGAACCAGGAAATGAATGAGACAGTCCTTAACAGTGGAAACAACTGCCTAAATGAAATAAAAACAGCTCTAATAATTTTATCAACAAATGTCAATTTAGAAAAACAAATGTGTGATTCAGTTTATCTTACCAGTCCTTTCTGTAGCCTGGAGGTCTCAGTTCTAGAGAAACAGAATCAAGTGCCAAAAATGAACAGCTGTGACTCAAATCCTTTCTTATTTATACCCTCAGCCTCAACTAGCCCATAAATCGGCTCTGAATCCCTTTATTCTGGACAGTTAACCCCCAAAAATTCACTGGCATCATCCAAAATAAGCATCGGCAGGTCAGGCTTTCTGAAGATCTGTAATCAGAAAACTCCAGTCGGTGACACATACACTCAAGCAAATAATTATTTGGACCCTGCTCTCCTTTTAAAAGTTGCCTCACTAAAAAATTAACACTGTAGCATGTTTATGTTATTTTAAAGGAAGAACATCAACCAGGATTTTAGAAACATTTACCATATAAACTGAGTGGAATAAGTATTTGATCCCCTCCATACAGGGCAGAATCCTGGCTCCCACAAGGCAACATTAATCTGTTAATTAAATATAGGTTTTCCTCTTCACACCTGATCACAGACCCAATAATCCCAACCAAATGTCTCATTGGCAAAATCAAAACATCAGGAAACTTGTTCCTTCATCAAGGAAGACCTTGGTGAAAAGGTCTTCACTATTGGTCTGGAGCTTAATTCAAGATGATGAGATGGTGAAGGGACCAGGCAAGAAACCACCATGAGGAGAATGTTCCTGATCCGAAGGTAGAGAGAACCTCAGTCACCACTGGTAACGTACTCTACAGTAATTAAGATCTTGTTGCCTTACAGCTACAGGAATGTGGAGAATATCTAATTAATGGATGAAGTACGGTGGTCTGGTTAGGCCAAAATCAAGCTTTTTAGGAGATGTGCATTGAGCAATCAACCGACCAGAACCTGAACAGACCCCCTGGTCTATTTGTGGTTTTTGGTTGTTTTATTGTCTTCTAATTCCAGCGTGGAGTTTTTCTTACAAAATTATAGCTTATTAGTTTTTTCATCTGTTACTGATTGAATAGATTTTATCTTTCTATATGATTGTATAGAAAGCTGCTTTTCTGCAGGTTGGGTGCGAGAGACCAACGGAGCCGCATACCGTCAAACACGGGACAAGATCAGTGTTCCCCAACCCAAAACGCACGAGCCGAGCAAAGGAGAAGCACATCCTGTAAAGGTCAGTGCCGCCTCAGTCTGACAGAAACTCTGTGGTGGGAGCAGCAGCTAAAAACCTGAAGGGGTTTAAAAACTTGTTTAGGGAGGAGCAGGCTGCATTACCGGGACAGAAGAATAGAGATGTGCTCCATGTTGCAGCGCAGACAGAAGACGGGGCTGTGGAGAGAGAACGGAGAGGTCAGAGGGTTAATATTACATTTACACCCAAAATATTATCTCAATAATCGTCACAAAAACAGTCAATGTTTAAGGAGGTGTGGCTGTTTATCCAGTATTTTCTGGGCTACCTGAAAACACTAGGGAAAGTATCGGCTGCCAGGTGATGCACGAAAACCAGGTGTGCCAAGCAGGCCAGGGAATTTTTGGGATAACGGACCTCCTCCTCCAGGAAGCCAGGAACCTCTTTCTTCTTAAGCAGAGGGTGAAACACAAGACCTGGGAGAGACTCTCCGGCAGCGCCCAGAATGTCCTATAGAACCACACAGAACCACAGGTTCACAGCTCAAACACCACACCATGCTGGAAGCATGCAGGGTTTACAATCCGTACCAGAATCTCTGCAGCAAAAGTCCGGAGTGGAGACAGAGGCAGCGTGTCTGGGTCCCAGATCTGTACGTCCAGCAGAGGGTGGCTCAGGGTCTTCATGCAGCTGCAGAAACACAGACGTTCGGTCACACTGCTTTTTAAACAGCTTTAAACTCCTGGGGAAACGTCAAGCTTTTTGCCACTCACAACTTCAGCAGTTCTGTCCTCAGCTCGTCCTCTGTTCCCTTCTCCTGTTCACCCGCTGTTTTGTGGGAGTTCCGTAGCTGATTCCCGCTGCTCTGATTCAGCCTCACCTCCTGCACAAAGGGCCCAACAAACTGCGCGAGGTCGGCGCAGCAGTGGCCGAGCGAAAAGACGTCGTCCTCTTCTTGCTCCTTGGTGTCAGGGACAGGCAGCTTGACCAGCTGGTCCAGGACGGAGGACAGGGTCATTCCCAGGGAGGACGCCTTCCGGCCGCCCAGGCGCAGCAGCACTGAATGGGGGACAGAGCACAGCAGTCTGGTGGAAACTGAGCTGAGGTGACTGGGAAACCATTCAAATGCCTTCTACTTTGTCACTTTCTACAACGACTGAAACGGATTATTCAGATAAACTGATTATTGAAATAATCGCTGATTAATGCGGTGGGAGCAGCAGCTAAAAACCAGGCAAGAAACCACCATAAGGAGAATGTTCCTGATCCAAAGGAACATTCTAATGTAGTAGTCAATTACTGTACAAAAAAAAAAAAACACATTTTGAATTTAAGATTAAAAAAACAAAACTCAAGTGTCATAGTTTTAGGTTCAAATCCTGTAAAGAAAAGTTCCTATTAAATACTTTTAGCTATCCAATAATTACTCAGTTAATCCAAAAAATAATCAACATGTCAGTTGTACGAATAAACTTTACTTAAATAAATTACATTGACGTCTGGTGTGACAAAATATGAAAAAGGAGGTATGTGCAATTTTGCGAGAAACTGAATTTCTGAGTCTGTTTGTGTGAGATTCTTAAAGGTACAGGTCACCTTTCTGTAGCGGGTTCAGAAGCAGATGGAGACTTTCAGCTATTCTGTCGGCATCGTCATGTTCCAGCAGCTCCAGAAGGCCAATCAGCAACTCTTTAGGACTGCAGGTCTGCAATACCAGAGGAGACGAAGCATTTACAAACTCAGGCTCCAAACCCGTGACAGTATGAAAGCAAAGGTTTGGTCAGACCTCTAACAGGTGGTTAAAAATGGCCAGGCACTGAGGGAGATGTTTATCGTTTTTCCTAAGCAGCACCTGAACCAGCGGCGGCAGCAGGTTCCAGCCCATACTCCTCACCACGCTCTGCAGGTCAGAGTTAAAGGCAGCGTCAGGGATGGCAGAGAGAACCGCACGCCACCGACATCTTTGTTGAGAAACACACCTGATTCTTTTCATCCAGGACGATGCTGAGGACCTGCGGGCTGTGTCCCTCCTCGATGCAGCTCCGACCCGCTACAGTGAACGCATCATGATCCTCTGAGCTGTAGCTGTCATCTGGGAGCGCCTGCTGTTTAGAATACACACAAAGAGGTAAAGAGGTCTATTGGAAGAAATTATGAAGAAAAAAAGTGCAGTAAATGTTTCCTGTCCAGCTACTTAGTGGACCGATTCCTACAAAATTGGTCCACAACGATGTGAAAGATACTACATTTTTACACAGTTGATGTAATCTGAATCAGGAATTTGTGATATATAGACAGCAACATCAGTATTAGCCAATATTAGTCATTTTTTAAATATATTAGTATCAGTAAAGTATAAGTAAATCTGGGCAAATGTGAACAACTGGTGTTTGTTTCCATTTCTTTACGTGTCATCATGTCATGGTGGTAATGATGCCGTACAGGATTGTGGGGAGTTTAACTGAAGCACAAAAGCAATGCCAACAATTGTTAAAGAGTCACAATGGTAGAAAAATATAAATAATTCAGGCAAATATTGGTTATCGGGCATATTTGTGATAATATCAGCATTGTTCAAAATTTTCAAATTGGTATATTCTTAATCTGAACATGTATCACATATGTGAATGATGCATATTTGTCCGAATAGACCTTGTACCTATAAGGTTGAACTAGATGATGGAGGGGAACAACTGCCCTTCACCTGGGATTTTTATTTTATTTCTTTGAAATCACATAAACCAATATTAAGCCTCATAATGCATATAAGCCTCTTCTCTCCTGGAGGAGAGGAAGAACAAAGAATTTCACACCCTTCAGGAGCCTCAGACCAGGAGGGGATCTTGGCTGAAGACTGTCAGACGAAAATCCAGAAACGCAGAATGTGTGGTGTTTGGAAACCTAATTAAGAAAGCGTTAACATGAGTAGCACCTACACATCTCTGGACCACATCACTGAGCTGCTCCAGAGCCATCTCTGCTGTCTTCACTCACATGGGCTGGATCTTCACCAAGTAATCCTTCAAAATATAAAAAAAGGGGGGCAGAATTAAAATAATTAATTAAACCGCCGCGCACAAGACGAATGTGTAACACACACATACAAATAAGAGGTTATCTGAGGCTACGGTCAGCAGTGAATCCCCGCAGCTTCCAGCAAACTAGATGCTAGTCCTGCTGATTCTGAATGATCTGAGCTCAGGGAGGAGCGACGCCACCTCGGTGGGCAAAACAAGCGAACATTACAGAGAAAGCAGAGTCACACACCTTCTCTTCATGCCCTCAGATAGCCCGGGAGCAAATAAAAACACACGCTTAAATGCACACTTTCCGAATACAGCGTGAAAAACTGGTACGGCCCTACCGGCTGCCGTACAATGGGGACGTCACGGGGTCAGAGTTGAACGGAAGGAAAACAAGCAGCATGGAGACAGAAGAGAGGCGGAGGAGAAGGGGTTCTGCGAAAAGCTCCAAAAAAGGTCCAATTTTCAAACTGTTAACCTGGAAGAGCGGCTTTTTTACGGCTGCTGACAAGCTAAGAGGAGAGCAGGTTACTGTCCGGCTGAAACAAACATGAATGTAGCCGCCATTTTTAGCTTCTTTATGTGCTACTTAAAGCTACGCACCCGACTTTATTGTAACTTCAGTTAAATTCTCTTTAGGTATAGTTTGTCACGTGGAAAATGTCACAGTTAGTGTTTCTATGTATTAAGTGTAATTTAATTAAAAGTAATAACTCCCCAAAACAAGCTTTCGTGGGCTGTAGTGACATCACACAAGGTATGCAGCAGTTGATAGAGGAATTCAGAAGAAGACATTGGTGTTTTCCTGGGCTGTTTTTCACTATTTGGAGGTTTTCATCAAATTTCATCTTCAAAGGCGTTGAGGTGTGTATGGCAGCAGCATATTTGAATTTTATGAACGTCACATCTCCACAGTGTTTAGTGTTCAGTTGGTCTGGAGCTCGGATCTGCGCATCCCATCACATCCGAGTTGGACCTGTCCTTCGTGTCCGTTGAGAAACTGCATTATAACTGTTGAGTTGCTAACACTGAACAAACATGTTTACAGTACTTTATGTGCTGCTGCTTTAATGCGACACACTTTTATTCAGCAGCCAGATTCCCAAAGTTCACAGGTGATTTTCATATTTCAGTGGCAGTTCTTGCATTTCTGATTGGTCATTTGGAAGCTCGGACTTTTGACTAAAAGTGGAATCAGCTGCCTGCTGTGATGCCATTGGTGCAAATAAACCCAGAACAGAATTTGTGTTTATTTCTTAGTACGCTTTTCAAAAAACTGCTGTGGAAAGCCAGACTCTTTTACCCAGCTGTGTTTTCATGGCCAGGACGGATCAGTTGGATGAAACCAGAGGAAAGTGTCTTTAACTCTGTTCTGGTTTGCCTGACAGGTGGGAAATGTGTCAAAGTAAGGACCGCCGAAGAAGAAGCGAGGAGGTGTGGAAACAGTTTACGCTTGTAAGCCTTTCAGGCTCTCAGCTCAAACAGTATTTGGTAAATGTCAACGTGTGCTTTATTCATCAGGAGAGAGGAGGTGAAGGAGAGGCTGAGGGAGAAGCTGGAGCTGGAGAGGAGAGCCCTGAAGGTGGTGGAGCGCCTCCTAGAGGACAGCGTGGCTGAAGACTTTCTGATTGACTGTGTATGTAGATGATCTTACTTTCTTTATATTGATTTATATTTCACTGTATATGTATTATTGAATGAATCTGGACTGTCCACTATTTGTGAATATTTATTCAGCTTTTTTGTTCTATGTGAAAAAAGTGGCATAAGGTGTTTCATAGAATATCTTAAGCATTCTGTCATTGCAAAATACATTAACAGTAAACAACTTTGGTATGAATTAGCAAGTAACCTGGGCTGTCAGGACAAACTACTCCACCAATGTTTTTAATTTTATGTGCCTGATGCCAATTTCTAAAAATCAGGGCAGCCACGTTGTTTTTGTTGTGTTTGACTGAAAGGGTTCAACTCAATAATACTTTATTCAGTCATAAAGTGAAGCTTCTTCATAGAATCATTATCAGTGGTGATGGCTGTTAGACTGTGTCACATAGTACCAATCAAATGTGTACCAACACCTATATCTACTGCAAACAATTGCTGATTGCGTCATCCTCTTATGAGTGAAAGAGGTGTTATAGGACCAATTATTCAGATTTAGAAATGTGGAAGTTCCACTTTTGAAAAAAAATAAAATAATAATAATTAATGAAAAATGTCATGTTTCACTTTCTTTCTCTCTTCCTCCCAGGCCAAGCTCATAACTCCTGCTAACTACAAAGACGCTGTGGAGGAGAGATTCATCGCCAAACTCTGTGGTTATCCTGTATGTCCAAACAAACTGGGCAAGGTAGAACTCTTAGCCTGGTCCGCCCGGACCTGTGAACTCACTACAAGTCTCACATTTAAAAAGTTCAGATTCACTTTGTCATGACTCATCTACACTGTTCAATCTCTAGATCCCAAACCAACGGTTTAAAATATCTACCAAAACAAACCGGGTTTATGACATCACAGAGCGGAAGGTGAGTTCTTTTTATTTTTCCTTACTATTATCAGGTCATTTTTTTCAGACAAATATTTGAAAAGCTGCACTTCTGTTGTTTGTGTCTAGTGTTTTTGCAGCAACTTCTGCTACAAAGCTTCCAAACACTATGAGCTGCAGATATCGAAGACGCCTCTTTGGCTCAGGCAGCATGAAAGGTTCTGCCGCTTCTGTCTCTTCTCTGTTCTCAGAAAGTCCGAAATATAAAAAACATTCTGTTTGATTTATGTTTCTTGGCAGTCCCCCAGAGGTGAGGTTGCTGAAGAAAGGAGATGGGTATGTACTGCTGCTTTAAGATTTCCACACAGTGAGCTAGAGTTGTGTAAAAAACTATGGTACTTATGAGTATTTTTGTTATATTTGGACATACATCAAATATCAATTTTAACAATTTGAAGCAGTTGATGTGCTAAAGCTAATTAGAACTAAGGTTGCACTAAATGCGGTTTTCTGGCTGATCATGATCTTTAAAAAGCCTGACCTGTTGACATTATCAGGTGTTATAATGACACCAGGCACTCGCAATATTCCAATCTTATTTTATAGAAAAACCCAGAACAAAACCCATCAAATGATACCAATTACACATGAAGTAGTTCTCCCAAATATACTTGCATTTAGAATGTTCTTTCCTGACCTTTGCGGAGTTAGATGAGATCAGTTTCAAGTTTAGTTTATCTATATCGCACCAAGGCTAAATAAGTCTTTCCAATTCAATCACACAGACATTCCAATTGATCCTTATTGTTCAAAGTAGATGAAAACATTTCTAAGGAAACACACATTGTATTGAATCATTGACTTGCAGCATTCACTCCTCCGCCTTCACATCTGAGAATCGGCTGATGGTCCAAAAGGACGAATATCGATGCACTCCTAGTTATTAAGAATAAATGTTGTTCATTTTCTACAATTGAAAATACACCTGAAAAATAATTTTTGCATCAATTTGAGTTGAGATTTTAAGTAGACTGAAGGTGTGTGTTCTGTGTGTGTGTGTGTGTGTCCAGTGGGAGCTCTGGTGAGGAGGTGCTGCTGTCCGAGAGGCGCCTCAAAGAGGAGGACATCGAGGACCCCCTGGCTGCCCCGCCTCAGGACCCTCCTGGCTCCAAGCACAGTGCCACAGGAAGTGACCTCAGTCAAAGCAGCGACAGCGAACAGGAGCAGGACTTCGTCTCCAGTGTTGTCCCCAGAGCCCATGTGAGCTGGGCAGACCTGCCCAAACACACAGACGGACACGGGAAGCAGAGCGAGCAGCGACATGCTGACAACCCAGAGGACAGGGGGAGAGCAGGAGGAGATGATGGGTCTCCTGGGAACAGACCTGTGGAGGAGGCCACAGCAAAGCTGAACGAGTGTAGCGTGTCAGAGAGAGTCCATCCCAACTCTGATCTGCTAGAAGCTGGAAGCAAACAGGCTCCAAACCTGGCGGCTCTCAGCATCACCCAGGTGGGGATGAGTCAGAGAGGAGCAGCTGGGCTGCGGGATCTCCTGAACACCCAGACTGGAGAAGCCAATCCTGACACGGTGCGGCTCAATCTGCTGGCATGCCTGAAGAGGACGCTAAAAGAGTGGTGCACAGACGACACTCTGAGCTTCCTGTACGGAGCCAACCATTCTCTGGGATCCCCATTCTCCGACGTAAAGGAAACGCAGGAAGAGGAGCTGGATGAAGATGACCTCGAGGACGACGACGTGACAGAGCAGGGTGCCGAAGAGCAGGACAGGGGTCGGCCGGCAGCAGCTCCGGACTACGAGACACTGTGTAAGGAGACGGAGCGGCTGCAGCTCAGAGTCACAGAGTTTTACAGAGGGACGTGGATTCTGCCTGAGGAGGAAGAGATGAAGCCCAGCGAGGTGAGCGGAGGAACACTGCTGCTGGTCAGACGACACGGTGGAACTTTACATCATTCTGTATAAACACGGGATGTTTATACAGAATGATGCAGTGTATCACAAAAAAGTGATACACTGCATCACAAAAAAAGTGATGCACTGACTCAGAAGAAGAATTCCAGGAGACCTTTCAAGCTCATTTTGGTCATTGTGACTTGAATCAAATTCAGTTAAGCTTTTGTGTGAATAATATGCACACAAAAGCTTAAATCAACTTGGGTCTTCTTCCAGACACTGAGCTTGATTTTTGAAAATGAGAGGCTTTTTCTAGAAGCCTAGAAGCTTCTAGATCTACTTTTTTTTTACTTTTGATGCAGAAAACAATATCTTAGTATGCAAATCTAAAAAAAATCAGATTTTTATAATACTCATATTGATAAAATATGCAAAAAATCTGTTTCATAATTTTGTCATTCAGAAATAATTCATATAATTCCAGCCTAGGGCAGGAGTGTCAAACTCCAGTCTTCAAGGGTGCCGATGTCCTGCAACTATTAGTTGTGCGTCTTCTGCACCACCTGAATAGAATAATCAGGTCATTAGCAAGGCTCTGGAGAACTGATCTACACAAGCAGGAGGTAATTAAGTCTCTTCATTCCAGTGTTTTGTACCTGTGGCACATCTAAACACTGCAGGACTCTGGCCCTAGAGGACTGGAGTTTGACACCTGTGGTCTTGGGAGTCTTCTATAACTCTGCTCTTTCAGACAGAAAAAATGTGTTACCTGTCATGGTGACAGATTTTGCTGGACAACAAATTGTCCAGTTATTGCAATAAATGGTAATATTGTTGCTTTGAGACCATTTTCAAGCCATCTAATGGTAAAGGCAGCATAATGCAAAACCACATTCTCAAAGGGAAGGTAAGGTGATTTTATTTATGTAGCACATCTTCAGCAACTCAAACTTTCAATTCTAATGAACATCTAACGCTGGTACTGGAAGACATTTTAAATATACAAAATGAATAAACAAAACAACAAATAAAATGAATTACGAAGTGTCTGTAAATAAATAGGGCTAGTTGAGACCTTCTATTTTCTGGTTTTTGGTAGAAAGAGCGAAAAGAGAAAAATGATCAATTTTACAAATGAAAATTATTGATCTTGTTTCAATTGATCATTTTTGATTTATTGCTCATTGCATCAGGCCTGTGTGTATGTTTTATATGGTGAGTGTTCACATATCTGATTGAACTGAGTGCTATATGTTGGGTGTTATGCAGGAGACAGAATCAAAGAATCCAGTTTTGCCGCTGATCGATTCCCAGGCTCAGAACCTCATCCAGAAACGGATTACAGTGGAGAAACTCAACAGCTGGTACGTTTGTGTGTGCACGTGTGTGTGCACGTGTTATCACAACTGTATTACATGAACGTGATTTTTTATTTTTATATATTGTTTATTACAGTCTCAAGAAGGTCGTAGGTCCGGTGGGCCTCACCATGAGTGACATCTCCACGGACCTGAACAACCTGGTCAGGACTTTCAGGTCAGAGCGCCACACACATTCATACACTCTTCTCCTGACAGGGTGCCAGTTTCCCTACATGTAGTTGAGTTGCAGTTTTAGAACAAACACACATTAGGAGATTATTTCTGTTTGAAGTTGAAGTTCAGTGGAAACCTTCAAATCTACATTTTTAGCTTTCAATTGAGGAAGAATCCTCCATTCTCTTTGTTTATGCCTCAATTAACTTGAAAGAAATATGGTTTATTTCCTGGAGCATGTGAGGGAAGACGTAAATTCTTCTTTACTCTTCTTTCTAAAACATCTCCAGTCAGACTGGACAGAGCGTGTGGATGAAGACGAGTTTTAAGGTTTTTCCAGATATCCCACGTTTCATGTGAGTCTGGACCTTCACAAAGAGTTGGCCTTTAGTTGAGAGTAATTTAGTCCACTTTTGATCTGTCTAGGTATGTTAGATTTTGAGCTGATCAGAGGTCATTCAGAGCTCTTAAAAGCCTAATGGAAAGCATAAGCTAAAAACAACGAGTCATCCAGAGTGACGAGACATGAAATAAAACGGCATCAGATTATTCTGATTAATAAAGAACAAAACAGGAGTTTCATAATGCAACTGAATTATGGGATCAACTGGTCATTTAATTCAGTTCCACATTTTTGGATTAATTTGTTAAACTTTGCTGCCCTCTACTGGTTAGGTAGAGGCATGGCAGGACATTTGGTTTAAATAGTTAACTGCTGACTTCGTAGCATACCACATTATCAGCCTTTCTTCTTTAGGAACTTAAAATTTGAGCAATGTCACATTTTCTGCAAACACAAGTGATTACATCAGTTTACTTTCTTTCTTTATTTTCTTGTGACAGTCCAGTACATTAAAACTGAACTGTTGGTATAAAAAGGCGTAATTGAGTCCAATCATTCTCACATTCTGCTGTGTTCTTTATTATTCATATTATTATTTGCTAATTAGGTGATATCTAAAGCCAACTGGTTACACTGAATTTTATTTAGGGTATCAGAGTAAGCAGGGCTGAATATACAATATGCATGTGACCCTGATTTCTATTTGTGTATCATTTTTCTTCCACTCAACACCTATGTGCTTGCTTGTGTTGGTCTGTCACATAAAATCTCAATAAAATGCAAAAATCTTTCTGATTTTCGCATGTTCAAAAGTTAAGGAGTTCAATGGGTCTGGATACTTTGGCAAGAAATGGCCTATTTAAAGTTAACCAAGTAGAGCAAGGACTTCTAGAGTCCAGCTTCCTGCAGGAAGTCCAGCTGTCAAATACTCAGCAGCGGGGTGTTTGGTAGTGTTCATCAGGATTTTCTCTGCTTCTTTATGCTTCTGTCTCCAGGTTCAGCAACACCAACATCATCCACAAAACCCCAGAGTGGACGCTGATAGCCGTGGTGCTTCTGCATCTGTGAGTCCACAACTCACTGCTTCTCATTTCATTTTACCCAAGACGCTACGAGCTGCAGCATTGTTTTGGCCATGCCATATGGTACATAGCTGAGTGTGTGTGTGCGTGAACAGTTCCGTGCTGCTCCCGTCTGAGTACACACAGCCTTATCTCGGCCTGATTGCCTCCTCTCCGGATCCGTGATCCACCACAGAAGGCACACTTTTGTCAAACGAAACACACACACTTAAACACAGCACACACTCCTCGGGCCCGGCTGGTCTGGGAAAAGCCTCACCTGATCCTCATTTATGGCAGCCTCAGTGGTCCAGCTCTGTTTGCTCAGTGTTTGCCTTCAGGCTAAGCCCTGTAGAGACCAACCGCAGTGTGATATGTACGGCGTGTCGGCCTCACTGGAGAAAGGAGCCGCAAACACCGGAAAACTTCTTGAATAGCTAACGGTGATTTTACAGCCATCATTGTGACGATTAATCAATTAATCTGCAAAAACATTTGGCTCATTCTGCAGATGTTAAGTCACATTATTAAGTCTTTTCATACAGTATTGAAAATGCATTAAAAGATACTGAAATAATTCAGTTAATTTCTTAAACAAGAAAGTAATCATTTTATTGCCTAAGACGCAGTCCTTTAGTTTAGTGAACTCTTCATCATTGGTAGCAAAAGATCAATCTGCAGCTAAAACATCCTGACATCAACATGTGAAAAGCTCAGACCTTTCTGCTTGACTTAATATCAATATAGCATACTACAGTTCTTTTCAGATTAACATATTAATAATTGGAATAATTGGTTGAATAACAATAGATTTTTTAAAAATTATTATTTTGTACAGTTACTTTTTTCAGCGATTGATCCTTTTTTTTGAGTCTGTATATTCCACTTAACGGTGAATTGGTTACTAAATTAGTTGCCGATTATATCTGTGATCCATTCATCATGATCAATCGGATTAATCGTTACAGCCCTTATCTTGAATTGGATGAACTTGGATGCTCCAGTGTTTTAAAGGATGGGTGTGTCATTAACTTTATGCATATGTAAACCTCTGATTGGATTACAGCTGATTTTCGTTTTTCTTCCACCAATCACTGCTTTTTAAAGTGCAGTTCCACTACAACAGTGAATCACCTGACCCCATTATGTGACTTCTCTCCTATATATCTCATATTGAAGTGTCTACTGACTCATAAAGAGCCTCGATATTAAAACACGGTGCACAAAAACGTGGCTGGGCCGTCCCGTGTCGCCGCGCCACTCTATGATTTCATTGGTTCCCATTGAACTCGTCTTCCACTCCATCCTTCCATTCCTCCATCATGAATAATTTGTTGTGCTGTCTTATCTGTCCACTGCGTGGCAGCTGTGGAGCTCGTCTGGCCTCTATTGTTTGGGCCAGATGAATAATAGATACCCCCCCTGTAGCTGCAACACTAGACCCTGAGTTGAACCGGAGATTAACCAGCAGAGCCGCTCCAGTCCAGGAGAGACGGCAGGACGGACAGGTAGGGAGGAGGGGGCGGAGCTTAGGAACAAGACTGCAAGGGAAAGAATTTGATGATTTCCATTTTGTCAGGTTAAAAATCCAAATTTTCATGTGTTTTTTTTTGTGGTAAATATAACATCTGAAATATATGCTATATTAGAGGTATTAGATATGGACTTTAGGTTTTATCATAACATTTGGTGGTAATATGGTCATAACAATAAAAGTGATGATAAGAATTATTTATCACTTCTTTTTTAGGTAATTGTGACGCCATAGCAAATCAATCAGAGCTACATAAACAGAAATAGTGCTTTTACAAAATCTAAGTAATGCTCTTCCTTAGGACACCAGTCACATAAAGAAGAGTGATTTGTATCACTAAACTCCAAACTGTAACTGTATTTAATCTTTTATTATTCTTCTTCTTCTTATTATTATTATTATTCATTCTTAGTGGAGAAATTAGTGAAACTAATAATCCCAACAATACCAACAGTTTTGGGAGAAGTTTTAAATATCATTAACTGGGATTTGTCATGACAAAATTTTATAAAAGCTCATAATTATTTATGTTGGAAAGAGAGGTGACGTCACACAGTGTGTGTGATAAAGAAGTTGTGAAACAGGTTTTTACTACTTTGAAACAGACCAAAATCCTAATAGATTTTACAATCTGAAGCTGTATTTTCCATCTGATATGATCCGTTAGCGTAGCGACGTGCCATGAGGTCCCACGGTCTGCTGTTCTCTCGTCTCCAGGCTGTCCTTTGTGTCTCCGGTGGTGCGGGACGCCCTGGAGGTGTCGGCATCAGTGCAGTATTTGAGCTCTCTGATGGAGGAGCTCGGCCTGCGGCAGCACGACCTTCTCAGCGTGGTTCATCTCTTTAAATCCTCAGCAAACTGATGAAAAGTTGACCTGAAGATGTGTAGTGAATATTTTGAATCAGATTAAAAACTGATCATTTAAAGAAATGACGATTGTGTGTCTTTTGTGAGTCTTTCGTTTTTACCAAATAAGTCATTTTAAAAAGTCAAAGTGGAGACTGCAGACTTCATGCACAGATTATTTAATTTCTACCACTGGAAAAAATTTGTGAAACAAAAATAAAAAATTCTGGAAATACACAGATGTGAAATTTGGGCCAATACCAATATCTGATAATAATGCAGTTTTGACAAAGAAAACGATAATGACTCATTCTGTATGCGTTTTATAAACATGTCACTAACAAGAGGTAAAAAAAATAAAAATCCATCTGACATTTCTTCTCTCTTAAAACACGTCCAGTCTTCTCTTTCTGCTGAGGTGGTGACGTCTTCTCTCCATCCTTTCCCTTTAAACATTTTCTCTACATTTCTTTTCTGTCTTCTTGTCCGTAACATTTGGAATAAACCCACAAAGGAAGTTTTGTAAATGTATGCAAAATAGTGCGTCATGGCAACATCCATAATCCTGAACTTCTGAAAGTAAATCTTGATCCTCATGTATGTTGACAGCAGGGGTAACGTTAGTTGTGGCGTTGATGAAAAAAGCATTTAACAGTTTTTCTTGTTTTTTTTCCCCTGTTTTTACAGTGAATAAATGAGGCTATTTAAAGGTTTTTGACGTGTCTGCTCGTATGCGTCGCGGCGCCGGATAATGTGCACAATCTGTGGCCAGCTGTGTGCAAATCACATCCTTAAAGCTTCAATATTTAACCAAGGCAGAGGCAACTAAAAATCACACCCAGCTTTTCCCCAGTGAAATCAGCATGTCCACCCGGCTGCTTATTGCTGCAGTTAGAGGCTCTGCTACTGTAATAAAAGTTGCTCAAATCCTGCAGACTTCCTTTACGTTGCCTTTTATGGCCTCTCCCCCCCAAATGTCATTTGTTATATGAGGATGTGAATGATTGCTTTGCCTGAGAATATTTATTTTTGGCCAGATGGCGCACGCTGCGAAACGTTCCTCTGCTTAAATATGTGAGATATGAGCTCTGAGCTGCCATGCAGATTGGGGGTTTGTGATTGATGGCCTGCATGACTTCACATAGAGCTTCTTGTTTTTCTTGACGCTCTGAAAAATCAGCGGAGCGACGCAGAGAGGAGGACAGCGGTGCTACTCTCAGGTTGTTCTAGTGTGAATTGGGCCCACCCTTATGCCTCTCTAGATATGCAGTAATATGGAAAGATAACTTTTAAGAGTTGACATAAATGTTTGAAATCGTCAGAATTGAAATGCATTTACATTTTTAATGAATGCAAAATGCAGTTTTCAGATTTTCTTTCTAGTAGAGACAAAAACAAACGATTCAAACCAACCTGCCTTAAACTTGGTAATGATTTCACTTTGATGAAGGAAATCTTTGTCCCGCTCATATGCATAGAATTTTTTTTTTTTTTTTTTTTTTTTTCCTTCCGTCAGCTCATTGGTTCTGCAGCATAGTCCAAGTATATTTGTTTAGGGTCGTGACCTGATGGCAGGAACAAAACAACCCTTCAGGATTTTAGTTCCATCAGTTAAGACAAGTGGTTCAGGTCCTGAAGAAGCAAACCATCATCCCACCAACACCGACTGTGACTGTTGCTATGAAGATTTCCTGAAGTGCAGTCTTACTTTAACTCAAGATGAAACGGGACAAACACCTTCCAAAATCTGAACTGTTCTCATCAATACACAGAATATTTTGATGAGATTTTAGTTTTCATCTGTTCTTAAGTTTCTTTATTCCAGGGCTTGAGGCTGTTTTGACCTACTTATGTGTTTTCCAGCCACATAGTGCAATTTTATGGCTCAATCGTGTAACTGTTGTTACATGATTGTTGTGAAACTGCTGTACGTCAAATATTTACAGCAGTTTGAACGCCTTGAAATTGGGCCTCTGTCTCTAAGAAATTGCTGCTCTTTCTGACAGGACGCCATCATAACATGGTTCCTCTATTGACCCTTCAGCTTCGTTGCTCTGAGAAATAGCTGCTTTAATGAGCTCATCAGATGCACAGCTCCACTGGATGTTTTCTAATTGTTGCTGGGGTTACAACTCATATAAATGATTCTTCATTTTTTGCGCCACCCTATGAAAGGATGGCGCCCCGTGTGGAGAGCCACAATGGATGTGCGGGGCTGGAGTGCAGGAAATCAGCATAATGAGACCTTTAAGTTAACATTTAATCCATGTTTATATAAACAAATAGAAGACATTTTTATAAAGCTGATCCAAACATTCAGTCTTGGAAATGTATCATTTAGCTCCTTTTTTTTTTTTTTTATAATAATTGTGAAAACAAACGATAAATATCAGTTAAATAGTAAGAAAAAAAAACAAAAAAACAGCAGTTCAGAACAGGAAACTAAAACGTCGGCCCACGCTCAGTGGAAAGCTGAGGAAATCGGCTCATTTCAGTCCGTGCTGCGTCTCCTTATGCCTCCTCAGGTCCACCTTCCTCTGGAAGCCTTTCCCGCAGAGGTCGCAGCCAAACGGCTTGAAGCCCGTGTGCTTCCTGCTGTGGGTGATCAGGTTGGAGCTCTGACTGAAAGCCTTCCCGCACACCTGGCACTTGTGCGGCTTCTCGCCTGCAGCGGGGAACAAGCGGTTGAAACGCTCGGTCACGTTGGGAGGAGGAGATGAATCTCTTCGTGTTATTCCCATATACGTGTGTGTGTGTGTGTGTGTGTGTGTGTGTGTGTGTGTGTGTACGTACTGTACATAAGTGGCTCATCTTTCTCACCTGTGTGGATGAAAGTGTGCTTTTTCATGTCAGACTTCTGGTGGAACCTCTTGCCGCAGTACTGGCAGGGATAGGGCCGAGTGTCCGAGTGGATGAGCAGGTGGGTGGAGAGGGTGGAGGAACGCTTGAAGCTCTTCCCGCAGATTTTACAGCTGAAGCTCCTTTCCTGTCCAAGGAATCACATCAACAATCGTTTAAAGAAACTGTATTCTAATATTCATGACATACAGAGGAAAAAAAAACATAAGGGTGTTAAGATATTCACACAGAAACTTTGTAAGATTGAAGTTTGGGCTTTTAGTTGGTCTCATCTCAGCCATACTCAACAAATCTGAATTTGGTCATCAGGTTGGGATCTCAGCAATTCTGTCCAAATAGTAATTATTTACACACAGTAACATATTTTCTGTCATTTCTGATGATTATGGTTCACAACTGGTACCAATAAAACCATTTTACGATTCTGTTATGACATAATCATGGAGAAAGCTGATGACTCTGACACCACGGGTCAGCCACAAAACATTCACAAACAGCTGTGTCTGAGTATTGTCTTGTAAAGTTGAGTGGAAGGAAGAACTGTGGTAGGAAAGGATTTACAGGCAACAGGGACAAACTCCTGCCTTGAGCGCATGGTGAGGCTAAATTACTTCAAGGGTCCGTGATGTTTGTGTGTAGCTGCTCCTGAACCAGAGAGGTCAGAAGCGTCTTAACCCGGATAATAAGAGTAAAGTTTCCACTTTATTTAGAAAGCAAAGTTCCAGAGTCTGGAGGAAGACTCATGAGCAGAGGCAACATGAACAGAATCCATGTTGCTTGAAGCCCAGCTTCTTGTTTCCAATCATTAGTTATGTTTCTCATCCAATTATTGTGAATTTTGAGTGAACTTTTAAAATTGCAGAAATTATTAAAAAAAAAGGAAGGTAGAAAATGGAACATGCGAGTTAGGCGTGTTTCCATCCACCGGTTTGGAATGAATCACAGAATGATGTGTGTGTGTGTGTGTGTTTGTGTGCGTGCGTGTCTGTGTGTGCACGCGTGCGTGTGTGCGTGCGTGTCTGTGTGTGTGAAATTGGGGGAAATACTTTTGAATTTTGCTGCTTTCATCTTTTCAACCTTTTCTGATGAGCGTTAAAAAAAATTATGGAAGCAGCTGGAGATGATTTGGAGAGCGCTTCATCCTTCCTGCTGCTGACCGGCTCTGTGGAGATTCTGATGCTATTTTCCAGCTGGACTTGGTACCTAATTACTGCCAACAGCAGCTGTGATGCTGCAGTGATTTGACTAAGTGACAGTAAGATGGAGGATGAGCTCAGAGCAGGAGAAAGAGCTGAACATCACCTCCATGCTGCTCTGCATTCCTGCAGGAATTTATGAAAAAGAGGCTCAGACCGATTTCAAATCTTTAGTAATTCTGGTAAGTCCGGATTTTGTCTTTTTCCTCTTAGAGAAATTAGCTGAGAGTTTTATGAATTATTAGCCATAATCATCAAAATGCATTAAAAACGCTTGAAATCTGACCCATGGTTTTTATATGATATGAGTTACATGTGTTTAAATTGCTGAAACAAATGAACAATTTTGAATTTACTCCACCGATATGAATTGCTATTTACTGAAAATAATAATAAAAAAGAATGAAAAAGTCATCAGGGCCTTTTGCGTAAACTCAGAGGCCCCTGAGCATCGTCTTCCTGGATGGTTTGGACTGAGGCTGGTACCTGGGAGTGAACAGCTCGGTGCTGATCCAGGCTCACTGCGTGTCCGAAGGTTTTCCCGCAGATCCCGCACTCAAAAGGCCGCGTGCCGCTGTGTGAGCGCCGGACGTGCACCTCCAGGCCGTGGGGCGTGGAGAAAACCTTTGGGAAAAAAAAACATATAGGCCTAAATATACTATAATATGTTTTAAAAAATTTCATTTATTTAAATGAAATGTATCAGACATGCGCTCGTTCCCAGATTAAAACAGGATTTGTGTTTTAAAGCGCCACCTTGCAGCATTTGATGCACTTGTAGGATCCGTTTTCCTCCAGGTTCGAGTGCAGAAAGTCTTCCTCAGATTTGATTTCCTTCTGCTTGGCCCCCGCGTACAGCTCGGCCCCGACCCGCATCCTGTAGATCCCGCGGGCCGCGCACTGGGAAAACTCCTGGTAACAGCCGGACC